GTAGCCTTTTGAAAAAGCACCTTTGGGACAACGGGATGCAAGAGAGCCTTTTTCTACCCTCCGCCTCATCTCCTCGGCCGCCCCGCCGTCGAGGGCCTTGCTAAGCGACGCCTCGAGCTCCATCTTCCCGCAGCCTTCACTACCTGGATCACGCAGGGACACTCCAGCAGGCAGGACTTCAGATCCTCGCGTATCCCGGAGCACGCCCGCCTGTCCTCCTCTTTCCCTTCGTAGTATTTCGGCATCGAGACGAGGCGTTCTGCCTTTCGGCGTTAGTCATCCACGGAATCACCACGGCTCCGCAACTTCCTCAGCTGCAAGAACTGCGCTTCCCGAGGGCTACCATCTTCGCTCACTCTTCACCTATTCCTGGAGTTACGAAAAGTATAGAAAAGGCATCTTGCTTCTGTGAGGAATTTCGTTTTCAATTGGGAAGCTATGCTTAACGTGTTTTTCCCGCTCCCGCAGGCGAGACAACAGTCCGTAGACTTAGGTGGAAGAAGTCAGTAATTAGATGTGTTATTCGATAGGATGCAAGGAATATTGTTTACTTAAAAAGTGAACAGTGAGATGGACATAAATGCATGTTTTAAATAAAAATACAATAGTGAGTCGGTTTAACATTGGAGAATCAGAATAAAAAACTAGCAGTATCTCTCTATAGTATTTAGAAACAAATTAAAAATAAACTTGCAACATAACCCACTATAAAATATTCCTGTTCAATGACAAAACTGAGAGATCCTTCTACACTTTTTAAAAGTCCGTGTACGTCATCAGCCTCAGCTTAAAGACTACTGTCAGCCTGATCCTCTTGCGTACGCATGCGCTTTGGCACTTTTAGGCTGGAAGTCACGGAAGTCAGCAACTTAGGGGCTGTGAGTGGCGGGGGGGGGGCGGCAATCGAGCAGAATTTGCAGGTTGGGGGTGTTTTCTTCTTGGGTGCGGGTCTTTAATTCCCCCCCCGGCACAGCGACCAGACGAGAAGAGGAGGGGTTTGCAGTCACCGCTCGCGTAAGGTGAAAGCGGTTGGAACATTCGGGGGGTTCTGGAACGGTGGGAATCCTAACAGAGCCACCCCCCCCTTTCTCCCTTCTCCGCCCCGAACCGCCGTCTGCAAGTGGGTGCCCCGGCCTGTAGTCCGTGTTTTCCTGCCTTAAAAGGTACCTGCGGCCTTTCCCCACTTTCTCCCTTCCCACTACTCTCTCCGCCGTCCTCTGGCTTGCCGAGCTAGTATAAACTAAGGAATTTACGATGGCTTGTGAAATAATTTTCATCTAACTGAAGTGCCCGAATCCAGGGAATCAAACAGACGAATATCATCATATCATATCTTCCAGCGATATTTCGATGGTATTCCCGATTTTGTCCATTGGTTGTTTCCTACTTCCCCTGTTCCCTTCAATTTGTCAAGCATCACCACAGACAAAACATTGCTTTAAGAATTGTGTGTGTGTGTGGGGGGGTTCATCGCAGCATAAAGCAGCCTATTTTATTCTAAAAGCTTTTCTAAATCTGTCATTGTTTCCTTTCTAGGATTAATATTCTCTTTATTTCTTCAAAAAACTGACCCTCTTTCTTTATTCTTGAACCCAAAGCCACTTGTATCTTTTCTGTTTTGGATATTTAGGAATATTTTTTGTTTCTATTTTCAGAATGCCTCTGTCTCTCCCTATAGGATCTTGGGTTCTCCTTTAATAAGTTAAGTGTAATAATGTATGTTTTATGCATTGATTTTATGCTCTGATTGTATCCTGCAGAACAAATATTACTGGTTTGCCTCTGCTCTTTAATTTTCTGAATTTAATCTGTATGTTTTGTAGTTTGTTCCACAGTCTGTTGCTGACATTATCCTGACTGTTGAGATTTAACTTAGATTAGCTAAATTTATTATCTATGTTCATATAGTTTCTTCGATTTTGGGGTTTCTTTTCTAGGAACTTTTTTCATTGGCTAATTCCTGTTGTGGATTACTTTTATCTTCATACTTTCCCTTCAGGCTTCAGCAGCAAAGATAATCTTACTGGGAGAAGGATAGTCTTACTAGAATTTTGTGCTTACATTATTCTGAGGATCAGTGGAATTATTGTGGATATGTAGGCAACATTGTTGGAAGACACAACCTGCTCTCCTTTATTGTACGCTTAGCCTTCCCTCAGAAAAACAACCTTGCAAACATGCACAGATAGTCCTTGACTTACAACAGTTCGTTTATTGACCATAATTACAACGGCATTGAAAAAAATGAGCTATGACCATTGCAGTATCCCAATGATCAAAATTCAGATGGGCAACTGACTCAAATTTGTGACAGTTGGCATGTCCCAGGGTCAGGTGATCACCTTTTCTGACCTTCTGACACGTTAAGTCAATGGGGAAGCCAAATAAACTTAATAACCGTAGTAGTAGTAGTAGTAGTAGTAGTAGTAGTAGTAATAAAGAAAGGTAGTAAAATGGAGAAATCTCACTTAACAAATATCTCGCTTAGTGACAAATTTTGAGGCTCGAAGTCAAAAATAACAAAAAAAGCTTCTTTCAACATGTAAAAAACAAAAAAAAAAGTTAAGGAAATGATTGGTCCATTAGTGGAATAAAACTGGCAAGAAGGTGACAAGCAACAGGGAGAAAGCAGAACTAAACTCGTTTTTTACATCTGTATTTATACAAAAGGGAAAAATAGTCCAACCTATCAAAAACAGTACCGTAAAAACAGATTAGAAACACAAGTTAAGATAGGCAAGAAAATGGTGAGTACCTATCCACCCTAGATGAGTTCAAATCACCAGGACCAGTTGGACTACACCCCAAGGTTCTGAAGGACCTGGCAGATGTGATCTCAGAACCACTGAACTATATCTTTCAAAGATCCTGGAGCACTGGGGAACTACAAGAGGACTGGAAAAGAGCTGATGTAGTTCCCATCTTCAAAAAAGGAAAAAAAATGGATCCAGGAAACTACAGACCTATCAGCTTGATCTCAATACCTGGGAAGATTCTGGAAAACATAAGCAACGAATCACCTAGAGGCAAACAAAGTCATTACCAAAAGCCAACATGGGTTGTCAAAAACAGATCATGCCAGACAAATCTTATACAATTCTTTGACCAGGTGACAAAATTAGTGGACCAGAGGAATGCTGTGGATATAATTTACTTGGACTTCAGTAAGCCATTTGATACAGTAGACTACAACCTATTACTTGATAAGATAGAAAAATGTGGGTTAGACAGCATCACCACCAGATGGATCCGTAGCTGGCTAACTGGCCGTACTCTGTGTGGTCCTCAATGGAACTGCATCTACATGGAGAGAAGCGTATAATGGGGTGCCCCAGGGCTCTGTTCTGGGCTCACTGCTCTTCAACATCTTCATCAATGATTTGGACGAGGGGATAAATGGGGAACTCATCAAATTTGCAGATGACACCAAGCTGGCAGGAATAGCCAACACTCCAGAAGACAGGCTTAAGATACAGAAGACAGGCTTAAGATATCTTGACAGACCTGAACACTGGGCACTATCTAACAAAATGAAATTTAATGCTGAAAAAAGTAAGGTTCTACCTTTAGGCAAGAAAAACCAAATGCACAGGTATAGAATGGTGGTACCTTGCTCAATAGTAGCAACTGTGAGAGGGATCTTGGAGTCCTAGTGGACAATCACTTAAATATGAGCCAAAAGTAGAGCCGAGGTGGCACAGCAGTTAGAGTGCAGTACTGCAGGCCACTTTAGCTGACTGTGTTCAGATTGTTGGGGGCAATGTAAATATATATATATACATTGCTTACTGGTGTACACCGCTTAGAGAGTGCTTGCACTTAAAGCGGTATATAAGTCTCATGAATAAATAAATAAATAAAATAAACAGTATGCCACAGCTGCCAAAAAAGCCAACACAGCGCTAGGCTGCATTAACAGAGGGATAGAATCAAGATCATGTGAAGTGTTAATACCACTTTACAATGCCTTGGTAAGGCCACACTTAGATTACTGCATCCAGTTTTGGTCACCATAATGTAAAAAAGATATTGAGACTCTAGTGATGTGTCGCAACGTATTGCGACTTTTTTCCCATTGCTGGCAATGGGGTGGGTGCGGTTTTGGCATGATGCATCCGGCCCTTGGGCCGGCAGTTTGACATCCCTGCTCCAGAAAAAGTACAGAGAAGAGCAACAAAGATGATCAGGGAACTGGAGGCTAAAACATATAAGGAACGGTTTCTGGAATTGGGTATGTCTAGTTTAATGAAGAGAGGATGAGGGGTGACATGATAGCAGTATTTCAGTATCTCAGGGGCTGCCACAAAGAAGAGAGAGTCAACCTATTCTCCAAAGCACCTGCAGGCAGGACAAGAAGCGACGGATGGAAACTAACCAAAAAGAGAAGCAACCAAGAACTAAGGAGAAATTCTCTGACAGTTAGAACAATTAATCAGTGGAACAACCTGAATGCTCCAACACTGGAAGTTTTTAAGAAGAGATTGGAGAGCCATTTGTCTGAAACGGTATAGGGTTTCCTGCCTGAGCAGGGGGTTGGACTAGATGACCTCCAAGGTCCCTTCCAACTTTATTATTATTATAATTGGATTGTATGTGGATATATACAAATACTATTTGTATTTATTTTCTGCAATTGGCTTTTCATTCCCTTTACAGTATTGATTTACTTTCATTTCTGTTATTCCACAGTTATGTTTGCTGAATGGTTTTCTTGTTCCTAAACCTTCTCTAGCCATTTGAGATTTACTACCTTGGATTGAAAGGTATAAAATCTCAGTTGTTGTCTGTTTTTGTTAAAGAACATTAGTTCTTTGCTGAAATTTTCTGCAGTCTCCTAGTATACTTTATTTATTTATTTATTTATTTATTTATGAGACTTATATACCACTTTAAGTGCAAGCACTCTCTAAGCGGTGTACACCAGTAAGCAATGTATATATATATTTACATTGCCCCCAACAATCTGGGTCCTCATTTTACCTACCCCGGAAGGATGGAAGGCTGCGTCAACCTTGAGCCGGTGAGATTTGAACCGCTGACCTGCTGAACACAGTCAGCTAAAGTGGCCTGCAGTACTGCACTCTAACTGCTGCGCCACCTCGGCTCATACATGCAATGTATTCCTGCCTAAATCTACTACGCAGGAAAAGATATATTATTTTCCATTTGTACAGCTCTTATGAATTAGTATCTTATGAATTAGTAAAGCTTTGGATCATTTACAGGTGTTTCAGAGTCAGTATATATTTTGTCCTAATTTGGCCTGTGCGAGAAGATAATGCATGGTCTGAACTATACCAACCATAAAGAGGAGTTTGCAGAAACCTGAGGCTCATGCATGTAGCTGTGGTTTGTTATGGTACCTGAATTAATTTTTGGCTGGTGGGGAGTGGCGATGAGAGAGAAAAATCACTACCAATGATTTACTGTTGCTTTCTCTGCTTGGTCAATATTTTGGAATGGCAAATCCTGCAACACTTGCTGTGTATATCTTGAAATCCTTGCAAATTTCTTGGAAGCACGCTTTTTTTTTTAGCATTATCCCCACCAAAAATCTTAAATAGGCAAATCTTTTTCATGCCTATTTATGTACTGAGTCTTTTGTACTGAATCACATTATTGCCAGAGCCAGAGCATCATATAAAACGATGATCTTAGCTAAGGTATTAATATTAACCTCTCTGCTCATTCAAGAATAGTGATGCCAAATGGATGAAGTGGCACATTTCCCCATAATTTTGTGACTTTTTCATTTGGAATCTTTTGAAAAATATTTTTTGCAATTGTATCTAGTATGTTAACACTTTGAGTATACTTAACAGATAGTGTAAGGATTGACTTTCTACTATTATGTTTAATAACAGGATCTAATACATGCTTATATAAAACAGAGCAAGGATTTACTAGCTAGAAGTGGGAGGAAGTCTTTTATAATTTCAACATGGAAGCTGGTGCCTGCTTTGAAGTTTTAGCTCAAATATACTTCTTTTTAAAAATTGTGACTGTTTTTCCCCTCCTTAGCAAGATGTTGCCTACCACATCAATTAATCCCCGAGATCAGGGCAATGGATCTTTAAATACTAGAGCATCAGCAAGACACACAGCTGGGGCAAAGCGCTATAAATACTTGAGGAGACTCCTTCATTTTCGTCACATGGACTTTGAGTTTGCTTTGTGGCAGATGTTGTATCTATTCACTTCACCACAGAAGGTGTACAGAAATTTTCAGTATAGGAAACAAACAAAAGACCAATGGGCCAGAGATGACCCTGCTTTCCTTGTGTTGCTGAGTATCTGGCTGTGTGGTGAGTAGCTGAGAATTTATCTACTTGAAATTAGTGTTTCTAGCTTGGTGCTCTTAAGTATTGGTAGTAATGAGACCTCAATAACAGTAACCAATTTGGTCTAGTGCAGGGGTAGGCAACCTCGGCTCTTTTATGACTCATGGACTTCAACTCCCAGAATTCCTGAGCCATCATAGCTGGCTCAGGAATTCTGGGAGTTGAAGTCCATGAGTCATAAAAGAGCCGAGGTTGCCTACCCCTGGTCTAGTGGTTAAGGCATCAGACTAAAAGCCAGGAGACTGGGTTTTAGGCATGAAAGCTGGTTGGGTGATTTTGGGCCAGTCACTCTCTTTCTTGCCTCACAGAGTTCTTGTGAGGAAAATTGGAGGAGAAAAGAATATTGTGTGTGTTTGCAACTCTGAGTTATTTATAAAAATAATAAAGGTAGGATATAATTAAAATAAATATTGGTGTTTTATAGTGCTCAACCAGAGTAAACCATTACAAAATTGAGAGCTAGAAGTACCTTGCCTGTACAATCCCAAAGACTTTGAACACCTGTTAGTAGAGTCAGATTCATAATATTTGTGAAGGGACTTCAATTTTATTTAAACTCCAAGAACACCAATATCCAGTAATTCTCTGTTGGTAAGCAGCCTAATGCCGAGCTATTTCATCCCTAGTCTTAAAAAAACACACCATTATTTATAACTTATTTCATTAACTTAGAAACATTTAAGCAGAAAAATATTACCAAAGTACGCTATGTCTGTGTATCTTAGTTTTTAGACTAGCAGTATTGACAATATAAACACAATATAAAGTATTTGCTTGGAAAGATGAAACTATATAAGCAATTAACTTTATTGGAAATGGAGGCATATTACTGAATGAGTATTCTCTAAGCAGTATTATGTTTGGGGAGCACATGGCTATTCAAAGTTAGAGCATCTAGTATACCTTGAATTAATCATATATGTCACTGCTGTTCATCTTCCTTCTTCAGTATCCACTATAGGATTTGGCTTTGTGTTAGGCTTGGGATTTGTTGAAATGATAAAGCTGCTGCTGTGGGTCGTGTTTATAGATTGTGTAGGAGTTGGCCTTCTAATTGCAACTTTAATGTGGTAAGTCTCTTTAAAATAATCTTAAAATTCAGATTTCTGAATTTATATATTGCAAGTTCCAAACAGAATTTAAAATTAATAGCGTACTCATATATCAGCTCAAGATTTGGTTAAAAGGAAAGTGTAGAATATTTTGAACAATGGATCATAAATGATGTTCACATATTGGATTTACTTTCTGGAGAAGGTCATACAAAATTAAAATTAATGCTAAGTTCACTTGTTACCATATTACCAGTACTCAACATTTATGTATGCAATAGACTTTATGGAAACCATCTGGAGTAGAAAATGACTAGAAAACATGCTTAGGATTCTCTGGCATATAATAGGTACAAACTGTATTACAGAGAGAGGAGGGTGGAAAAATAAATTTCCTTACTGAAGTATATATTTGTATTTTTAATATTCTGCTAAGGAATCAAAACTATTCTTTTGCTTTTATAATATTCCTTAAAAGAACTTGCAAGATTTATTTTGGATTTCTAGATCAAAAATATATTTGGATTTGAAAGTACTACAAAACACGAAAGAGTACTACACACATTGAAAAAGAATTATCTGAAGAATTATTTCATGCTATATTGAATTAATAAAGGATTGCACAATTTAATACATAGGTTTTGAATTTTCCCCCCAAAGGTTTATCTCCAATAAATTTTTGCTAAAGCATCAGAACAGGGACTATGATGTAGAGTGGGGATATGCCTTTGATGTTCATTTGAATGCTTTCTACCCACTTCTTGTTATTCTGCATTTTATCCAGTTGTTTTTCATTCACTGTAAGTATTTTTTTTAAATTGAAGCACTTTTATTGTCTTGCTTTCTTTTATGCCATATACTGAGACTGAGTTATCTCTTGCAGATGTAATTTTATCAGCATCATCTCTTGGCTATTTTGTTGGAAATACTTTCTGGCTGGTTGCAATTAGTTATTACATCTATGTGACATTTCTGGGGTACAGTGGTAAGTAATAGTAAAGCTTTCAGCAAGAAATTGGTATTGCAGATGAGAAGGAACAGTTTTATTGACACTAAACAAGTGTGCATAAATGTTCTGTCGTGATTTGTCAGACAGCCATTATTACAGGCCAGTTGCTAAGTGTCCAACATGCGGTTATGTAACTGCCAGGGAGGAAGTGGTCTTCAGAACTGGGTTAGAAGTACCTTGGGCAGGGAGGCCATTGTAACTTTGAATACTCATTAGCAACCAGTCATAAGTCAAGGACTATCTGTAATCACAGAGAAACTCCAAAGTCTTTACTTTTGCTCCTTAGCATAAAACCTCCGTAGTTGTCTTGTAATACCGTCCCCTTGAGTATAATAAATTACTTATGTGAGCCCCTGGAGTGTAATCTCTGCCATTTCCTTCAGTGGTTTTTGTTTCAAGAAAATGCATATTTCTAAGAATTAGCAGTTGCTTTAGGGATGTGTTTTTAGCAAAAGTGCACTAGCTTTCTCGCACACAAGAGGGAGTGCTTCCTGCTCTTATCATTGAGACAAAGAGTCACAGTCTTGGTTTCTACTGAAGCTCTGCTCCCTTTCAGCACTGCCATTCCTGAAGAACACGGTGGTCCTTCTATATCCATTTGCACTTCTCATTTTGCTGTACGTCGTCTCCTTAGCCATTGGATGGAACTTTACAAAAGCACTTTGCGTTTTCTACACATATAGAGTGAAATAAACAGGTCTCCAATAAATGACACATTGTACAAATGTCAAACCTGGTGAAATGAAGGTACTCTTGTATATTCCTGTAAATAACTTATTCCCTAATATAGATCAGTGTATACAAAATGTTTGGTTTTTTTTAAAGTACTGACAGCTTTCTGACAATAAGCCTTCTATATCCCTCCTTTGTGGAAGAGTTGTACATTTCTGTAATAAAGATTCTTTTTAAAAATCAAGCTTGCTTTTAAGTAGATTTCTTCATACACTTTTATAATTATTCATTCAATAAGATATTACAAAATTCAAGTTTAGACAAGTTTTGGTATAGGGCAGTGATAGCAAGCCTTTTAGAGAACAAGTGCCCAAACTGCAACCCAAAATCCACTTATTTATTGTCGGGTGCCAGGTGGGCGTGGCCCACTGGGTGGGCATGGCTGTGGTGGTCATGGCAGATTGGGTGGGTGTGGCCAAGGTGGGCATGGTCACTTCAATGTTGCTCGGGAGGGATGCCTGTGGGGGGTGAGCAGGGTTGGGGGAGATCCAGAGGGTCTCTGGCAGGTGGGGCGGTAAGCAGGAGACTCATCCTACGGGGTGAGGTGAGGCAGAGTGGGGGTGCCATTGCCATGGGGCAAGGCAAGGGCCAGACTGGTTGCTGCCTGACACCATTGGCCCCCGCACACAGAGGCCAGCAAGCGCATGAGGGTCGACGGTGTCCGTCAGCAGCCACAACCTGCTGGCCCCTCGACCGGCACACTCTGGGGCTCCACAGCCCGCTGCTAGCAGTTCAAAGAAGCCACCTCTGAGCTGGATGGCCAGCCGACTGCTGAAGAGGCGATGCAGTGGGTTGTGCCCGGGAAAAGGAGAGCTGCAAGACTAGGAAGGACAGGATGGGAGGGAGGAAAACCAGCCATGCCGGGATGCATCCAACCACGTGGGACCTCGGCAAGTTAGCAGGAGGCTGGTTGAAGAGAGATGGTTGCCATCTCCCGGGCATGGCGAGCGTGCCCATAGAGAAGGCTCTGAGTACCGCCTCTGGCATGTGTGCCATAGGTTCGCCACCACTGGTATAGGGACTGATTTTATTTATAAATACCTAGTGTGTTTTAAAGATAATATTTCTCTGTAGTTAGGTTACTCCAGGAAAGTCAAGGAAAAATTCATCTCATAAATGCATGAGAATGGAGAAAGATGCACCCCAATTCAGGAGGCAAGATAAAATAGTGAGGATGGTGATTTTTAAAATTTTTCTAAAAGAAGATATTAGCAAGACTAAAAATTCTATTCCAAACTCATGGATGTTTGGTGCTGGTTAAAGGTGCTGGCCTAGAAATTAGGAGACCGAATTCTAGGTTCCCTAGGGCATGAAAGCCAGCTGCGTGACTTTGGGCCAGTCCTTCTCCCTCAACCCACTCAACACACAGGGTGCTTGTTGTGGGGGAAATAGGAGGCAGCAGTATTAGGTATGTTTGCCACCCCCCAAAAAAGTGGGTAAAAACATAGTAATGTTTCATGTGAATCTGTTAGCTTCAAAGAAACTGTGCTGTACTGTGACCCATTTCAAATAATTATTAAAAACATGGTTTGTTAGCATTAGGTAGTAGCTGTCATTTAAGGTGGGAAACAACTTTGTGGTCATGTACTCTGGAAAATAGTCTTAACCATTCTTGTGTTAGTCTGGCAGCTTCTAACACATACACAGTTCTAGGGCACCAGGAAAAGCATAACACACCTGTTCCCATAGATTTCCAGGATATATAAGACATTACAATATTAAGCTGATAAATTTTATAGAAAGTGTACAGATTTTTAAAATTGCACTTTACCCTCGGACTTACTAAAATGTCCATACTTTTTGCTATTCATGTACATGCCACAGAAAAGGTGTTTTCAAGTTTAGCCTTGTGATGTACTGGCAAAATTACTGCAGATAACTTCTACAGCTTTTCAGTAATTCTTAATCCAGTGCGAATTAATCAAGATGTCGGTTATACACTCAGTCTTTCCAATCCCACCATCCAGCAGGTTAATAAAGTAAACTTTAGGGATTAATATGTAGAGTACTCAGATTAATATGTAAACTCTACTGAATGGTCAGTGAAGTGGTATGTGACATCACTCTTATGAGGAAGAATATAGTATATACAAATAATATGTAATAGTTTTCAGGGGGAGAAATGAGAGAAGTGGAAAACTGAATAAAAAGAGTATTTATTTATTGATTAAATTTGCCTAGCTTCCCCAAAAACAAATCTGGGCAGCGTACAACTATCAAATTGTGAAAATGAAAACAAGGAGGGAAAAATAGAGATATATTACTGCATATCAGGAAGAGTACTATGTCATTGTGTTTTTCTTTTCCATCTTCTTTCCCTAATCATTATCCCACCTCAGAAAATTAAAAAGTAAACTATTCTAAGATACCCATTGTATGTCAGCTGAAATTATGCTGGTTCTATATATATATCTTTTAAAACTATTGCATATAAAAAGCATTTTTGTAGGTTTTATGTACACAAGTGTTTCCAGTGGTATTTATCTAATACAAATACTTCCAGTCCTTCTGCAAAACTTTCCAATTGTTATTCTAGTTAAAACTCCAGAATGCAGTTTTTAAAAATATTTATTTCAAATAGTACACGGGCAGCGTGTGGCACATAGCGCACTGATGAAAGGCACAATTAACATGACCCAGTTAGATTTTCAAATGTAGCAGCAAAATTAACAATACTGAAATCTAGCTCTAAAAAAAGTTTTACAAGGAATTAACCACATCATGGAGAATGCCAAGGAACCTGGCTGTAGGATGAAGGATTCACAAGCATAAGAACAGAGACACAACTAGAAAGCTGACGGAGTCAAACAAAGAAGTTGGGCAACTCTAAATGTTTTAAACCAGTAAATTGGTTTCTACTGACAGTCAAAATAGCATCTTCAAAACACCATAATTCAAGTAATATACAAGTTCTTTTCCCCAGAAGGAGGAAGTAGACTGAATATGAGACCTAATAGGCAAGAAGGGGCATGAAATAATATTTGAATTTCAAAAGCTTTAGGGAAAAAAACATTCAAAAGCTCCTTTAAAAAACACGGATTTTTTGAGCACCAGAAATATCCAGACACCTTCTATTAATATTTTAAAAATAACTATGCTTAATTATCAACTGCTAAGATTTAATACTTCAGTAAAATAAAGAATGCTAGCAACTTGAACATTTATTTCAGCTGCATTTATATTAAGAAAATATGAATGCCAGTAGAAAATATAAGAAAAGATATATCAGGAATTTGCAACTGCTTTGGGATGATGGGTATATTTAGAAAGCTGAAATGTATCACAACCCAAACACAATGAAATCTGGGAATAGCTCTGGCCTACTCTCAAAATGGCTAGTATGAGGGGAAAAAACCTATGGCAAAGTACAGATTCTATCTTACCTTCCAGGCACTCTTCTAAACAAAATTCTGGGCAGTTGCCACACATTTTATTAGAAAACTTATGAACTATTTTTTGAATTAAAAATAAGCCTAGTACCATGTATTAGATTCCCATTTTAGAAATTCAGAATTTTTTAAAAAAAATTCTGGTTGAGCAGATGCTAGAAGATGTGTTCCACAAGTTATTATCTACTCTAAACTATCAGGATATACTTTTTTGTTATGTCATGAACTGAGAATTTTCTACTGAACCTACTTTCCAGCAACCTAGTGACATATAATCCTTGACCTGCAACCACTCGTTGAATAACTGTTTGAAGTTACAATGGCAGTGAAAAAGTGACTTATAATTGGTCCTCACACTTGCAACTGTTGCAGCATCCACACATTCACAGATGAATGTGGCAACTGCCACGTATTTACGATGGTTGCAGCCTCCAGGGGTCAGGTGATCACCATTTCCAGCCTTCCCAGCAGGCTTCTGACAAGCAGCCAGTGGGGGAAGACAGATTCACTTTACAACTGCAGTGATTTGCTTAACTGTGGCAAAAAAAGGTATAAAATTAGGCATAACCCACTTTACCACTGCCTTTTTTAGCAACAGAAATTCTGGTCTCAATTGTGATTTTACATTGAGACTCTGTAACACATTCTTTATAGTTGCATTCATGTTCTGATGAACTATTCATGTATGTTGTTATTGAAAAGCAATAAGCTTTTTGCATATTCCATTCAGTGAAATTATTTAAGCACCAACTCAATGCATATTGGCTTGGTTTGGGGGGGGGGGGTTGCGTCTGGCCTTCAAGTCAGTATTATACTGACCCCTGGTAATTTTCAGAACAATTCTTTGCCGTTTTCTTGGCAGGATTTCAGAAGTGGTTTGTTATTGCCTCCTTCCTAGATTGAGAGAGGGGGACTGTCCCAAAATCACTCATCTGACTTCATGCATAAGGCAGGGTCTCCCAGTTTCTAGTCTAATGCCTTTATCACTATATTGCCTCTCTCACTGTAATACTTACAAAATAACAATCTAAATCTTCCACTAGAAAATAAAAGAAAGCATTTGAAGTGATTTTTTTTAATAATCTCTATTACACCATCAGATTAACTGAATGTACTTAGAATTATGCTAGGACAATACCATTAAGGCAATTCTATTACTATAGCTCAAATGGTGGTTAATTGTACACAACTCTTTTCTTCATCAGGGCATTAATCAACATAGAAGTTTATTAGTCCATTTAGATCAGTGGCTCGCTACCTTTTCTATACCCTGCACCCCTAGAATGCTTCTGATATATTCTCGCACCCCTTACAAAGGTTTGAAATAACAGCAATAAATTATGCACGTACACTATAATTTTGAAAACCCAAGTTTTCGCACCCCCTGGAATATCGTCTTGCACCCTCAGGCTTGCGAGCACCCCCGGCTGGGAACCCCTGATTTAGATATTCTTATACAACTGGCCGATTGCTTTGGGAGATGGGTGTTCTTACCTGATTTATCCTAAGCCTATTGGATCTTTAAAGCTGGCAGTATAAAGAGTTGATATTTACTACTTTTTCTCATTTCCAATTGGCAACACAAGAACATTTTGCTAGTGTACCTCCTTATCTGTGCAATTCTTTATTACATGGAATGGTTTATACCTAAGACAGTTGTCTATAGATGTTTCAAGAATTAAAATTAAGGATTTAAATATTACTAATATTGCAAAGTAGAATACTACTGAACACAGGAATATTGCATCTGACTAAGCATGCCTAAAGTTGCATTGGAGAAGATCACTTTTGATTTCTAGGTTACTTTTAAATCAATTGGCTAGTGATTTTGCTTTCCCCAAAGACCATACATTCAATGGGAGGAAGTGATCTATTGGTCTTTGGAAGAGAATAGCAAATTACATTTAGATCTAAGGTTCAGACTAATTTTTAAATTAAATACAAAAGGTTAATAAACCTGCACAAACTGCAATGGAATAAGCTGCTAGGGATAGAAAATCTCACATTTATGCAGCAAAGACTCATAAATCACTGATCTGCTATGTTAGCTTGAGAGCTAGGACAAGTGATTATATAGCTTTACAACTTGTTTGTAGCAAAATTAAAATACGGAAATAAATATTTTTATATATGTTGTTCCCTTTTCCATATAAAGAAAAGGAACATATTTTGAACAGTTTCTCACCAATTCTCTGTGCTTTTCCTATCAAACCTTATTTTTGTGTAGGAAAACATTAATCTTGATTATCATTATTAAGTTTATCATAAATATCCCATATACTACACACCCACCTCAATGTGGCATGTCAATATTAAATGCACATTCAATTAGTGTTCAATATTACAGGCAGTTTACAGGTTATCTAAAAAGTTTAACATTTAAGATTTATTGAACATTTAGGAATCAGAGTTCTGCATTAGTTTATTATATGTCCGTAAAATAGGCCATTATTACTATTCCTTTCATTTTAGAATCAGTACAGGCCATCCATTAATTTTATGGAAGTAATATTCAAATTTATAATTTAGCTAGTATGTCATATAAGCACTTTTGTATGAATATGTCCCCAATCAATAAAGAATTTGAGCAAAACTATTTCATAAATATAGGATCCCATCTATTTAAAATCAAAGCAATCTCAAGTCTTTAATAATTTGAAACAATTCAAGTATTTTTTCATACTGTGATCTTTTTTTTCTTTAGAAGCCGTTAGACTCAAATAAAAAATAGATATCCAATCCCTTCAATTCCTTACAAATAATTTCTATAGAAGGCAAGAGAGACACTGATTTTTGGCAAAAACTTACATCTGAGACACAGAAATATCTAAGAATTAATTCACAACACAAGCTACCACTATTGAAGATTTAATTTACCTGCGTGAGTCATAGAACTAAAAAAAAAAAGCCTTGGTTTTCATAACTTGGCTGGAGTTAGATAAGAAAAAAAAGTTTTGTTACTATTATTACTTTACTATTGCATGTTTTCTGTGCTACAGAGCACAAAGTGCTTGAATTGCCTCTTTTCAAGGCTACTGACCAAGCAAACATCTTTTTTCTTTGCAATATAAAAGAAAAGAAGCATTTAGATCACAGAAGCCTTGCTTCAGTCAGTTGGAGTGCAATGCTTTTAAGCAGAAGCTGGATCTTAAGAAATAGAAATCACTTCCACATTTAAGGACTGACAAAGTTACAATTATAAAAGCTCAGCTGAGGTTACTGTGTATCTGTTCCATTATCCCTAACATGATGCTAAATTAAATCATTCAAAAGCACTGAGCAGAGTTCGTTGAAAAGGGGTTGCAAAACCAAAAAAAGTTGATATCAGAAGGCATTGCTATCCAAAGGAGCAACTTGGTTGATTGCATTGAAGAAAACTTTACAAAGATTAAAAAAGAACAACCTGTTATCAAAGTACCCCTTTAATGGGTAATGATTCAAACTTTAAATTGCTGCAGACTTCATTCACTCTATTGAAATATAAAATTCCTTAATTCCAAGGCTGTGAACATCATAGGTAATGTTCTTCAAAGTTCTTGCATGCCATGCTTGTATCTTTGAACACTATATCCTTGATTCTGTGAACCTCTCATGAGGATGTTCTTCTGTGGAAACCCTTCTTATTTCGGTGGGATTTGTGCAGAAGAATCTGGCATGATACAAAAGTGCTTCATTGGCAAATTCAGTTTAACTCTTCTAACCATGACAATATATTACAAAATATGATTATTAACCAAGTAAAATGTAGAGTTAACTCAAGAAGTAAGGTAATACATTAAAAAACTTAATCAAGTTATTATTGGCATAAAAATATGTACTTTTCAAATTATTTAATAAATTAAATACCCTAAATTTTTTGAATATATATCCCTGATAATCTATAAAAGAGGGTTTTCAATAACAAAATAAATGGACTTTCAAAAAGTACCCTCTTCATAAAATGTATTATAACACATTTTTCTCATTTCCAAGGAATGTAACAATATGTACACCTTTTTTCGTAATTACCCATCACCATTGGATAGACCAAGGAGTATTTATCTCTAGCCAACCAAAGTCATGTTCAAATTATTAATCAAGATAAAGAATGCCAGGTGAATATCAGTTTCTACACTGTAATTAATCCCTCTTGCTGAGTCGATATTCTCAATTACAGTAGAATTCACGAGAGGTAGTGTTTCAGTGAGAAAATTGAGTTGAAATAAGGTGCATACTCAATATCTTCCTTCTGCAGTTTGGATGATTTTGCAAAAGTGTTCAAAATATTATCTTCTTACTTCTTCAATATTGATCAATTAGGGTGTTTTTTAATATGAATCTGTAATGCAGAATTGAAAAATGTCTGATGGTCCCCAATAAACAGCCAAACGCTTAAGCAAACATAGATCATATGCTTTTCAGTGTAGTGTAATCAAGTTATTGTAATAATTAACAAATGTTTGGGAGCACAACAAAATCACTTTTTTGAATGTGCTTTTATATGCATTTTGATACAAGAATGCCTGCTAACCAGAGATGGGATGAACTCCTAGATCAAAATTTACAGTATCTGTTATCAGAAGACATGATGAAAGAGGTTGCTGAGAGATATTGTTCAATACATCTCTATGGCCATTACTACTGAAAGATAAAGGAGAAACAGAAACTGCCTCTTTTCTATTATAAGGTATGAAATAGTTATTTGTTATATTACTACTAACCACAATTTCTCTAAGCCAGTTTTTCCCAACATGACATTTTAAATGTATAGAACTTATATGACAGCGCACCGGATTTGGCAAGTCTGATCTAAGTCATTAGGACCCCTGCAAACTGACAAACTTGACATGCTTGATTACTGTAAAAGGTTTTCTGAACTGTCTATTACAATGGACTAGCTCAAAGATTCCATGAACAGAATATATTGATAGAAAGCACTCTGGAACTTGATAACAGAAGAAATGAATTTCTTTTCTCTGCTATTCTTAGAAATCAGATCTCAGGAACTGGAGAACCTTCTGAATAACATGGGCGGTACTGTAGCTAGGAAAATTGGAAAAAAGGGACATTCAACAAATAGGACATTTTTGGATCTAACTCAAACCATACCACTAGAGTATCCAGTCTGTTGCAGGAAGTCAAGAATATACAAGTGCTGTAAAATGCAAAAAATCAAACTATGCTGAATTTTGCAGTAATACTGCACTACTACTATTTCCTGCACAGCAGTTACACTTTTATAAAGAAGAAATATTCAGAATAGCCCCAAAGATTTAAGATATCATGATATTTAATATAAGAAACTTAAGAATTTAAATGTTTGAAGGCAAATGTTCTAATTATTAAGCATCCTGTATAACTCTTACCTCATTTATAATTGCCCAGACAGATGAATTTTGTATGACGAACAGCCGGACAGCTGTAATTGGATTTAAATTGGGACTGACTATTCCTTCTGCTCTGCCATTTTCAAATTTGCCTTTAAAAGCAAAAATAATTCTAAATAATTATACACTCAGCAAATACAAATCACTTACATGTAATCCTATTCATTTTACACAAATAGATTACAAAACCTGGATTTTATGGACAATATGAAAAAGTCAAAATTTTCATCTGCCATCTTATTTATTTTACCAAATGAAAATAGTATGGTCACTTCATTTAGCTGGAAAATGAACAATTTCAAAAAAGGCCTTCAGAGAACATGAAGAGTGCAAATAGCATTTGACTCAAATTCTTTAATGCTGCTGTATATTTTTACAAAGCCAGATGGTTGCTTTAAGGAGACACTACATATGTTCTCCTATGGATTCCATGGTACCACTCTGGAATAAATTTTGAAATGCTACACTACCATAAAAACATTTAAATGATGCAGACTTCAGAATCCATAATTAGTTGGTTGCATTTTTTTTCTAGAACTCAGTTCCAATGTGTCACAGCACACCTTCTTCTTTTGTGATAATGCCAACACCATATCGGCTGCTCAAATACCTTAATCTAACATTAGTTCATGAAATTCTGTCACCTGAACTTGATTAGTATGCTATTAGATCAATAGTAATGCAAAATGAGCCACAACTTGAATTACTTAAGTTTTGTATTCAAATGTCCATAAAACAGAACTGTAGTGTTAGTTACCTATTCTGAAATAACCATCTTCTAACCATTTCTCTTTGGTTTCTTTGCTTAATAACAGCTCTTTATTCTGAAAAATGAGATATAAAATATTATCATCTCATTGATAAAGGATTTAATTAATTGTTTAACAAATAATAACATGCTAATGTATAGCAAATTCACAATTCTTCCCCTCATCCCCACTTCATAATTCACTGGAAGCCAACAAGACTGGACTGGCCCCTCCCAAGAGACCATGGTTGGTCGATACCAGGAAATGAAACAATATTCCTAAAAGATGATATGCTACATCCTTTTATTTACATATATACAACTTATTTTAACATAAAATGCATGATGTGATTTTGCCTTGTCTCTCACTTATCTCTGGAATGTTCAGTAATGGCATTTATGTATTGATCACCTTATATTCCTCTTTGAAACCTAGCTCAACTCCTTTTAAAAAGTTGTTGTAGTCCAATACTAAATATATTTACTGATAAATAAACCCCAAGACAACACAGAATTGAAATTTTACAAGTTAAGAATTTTAGATAATTTAAATATTATTTTTAATCATCTGTAAGGCATGCAGTCCAATACACCTTTCCTCTTTGGTTCTACCATTGCTCAGCATTCTGAAGAAAGATGGAAAACCTATCATCTATCAGCTGTTGCTGAATTACAAAACTTCCAGCATGGCCTGTGGTGAAAGAGATACAGGAAGATTTAGTTTAATAACTAAAGTCAGGTTTATTGGTGATGCTCTAATAATATTTAAACAAGTCCTGTTCTGGAGGCGGGGGGGGGGGATGCCTTCAGCTCACAGTCCAGGCTTATTTTTAAAGAGTGGGATAAAAAGAAATGCTGGTGATTCCAGACTCAGTTATTGCAGGAAGTGATTATATGTAAATTCTCAGCCTTGAGCACGCAAGGCAAACAGCCACTGTAATCCCTAGTATTAATAAAAGAGTGTTCCTCTTACTCTCTTGTAATCCCTTCTACAGTGAATGCAATACAAACATTAATTATGTTCTTGCTAATTATCCAGTGTTGCAGTAAGCATTCAGCTTGGGAATAGGAGAAAAAGGAAGCTGAAATAAAATAATAAGAACAGTCATGGTCACATGATTTTTCCAATTTAGTGACTGCGCTATTTAGCAATCGAGTTCTGGTCCCAATTGTGGTTGCTAAATACTTGTATTTGCTGTTACACTCATAGAAAGAAAGAAGAAATAGACTATTATCATACTTTAAGAGGTAATATGTCCACAGTTGTATTGACCAATATATCCCCTGGATGTTCTGGATTGCCACTATGGAACAGGAATCTATATCATGGAAAACAATAAAGAAAAACAAATTGGGAAAACAATCACAAGTTACCATATATATCCAATTCTATCTGTTGAAGAGTTTAATTTCAGGTAATATGCAAAGAATTGTTATCAAGGACCAAGAACAAAACATAATGTTCAAAACTGATGTTGCAAACAATTCATTATGGATAGTTTCAAATAGGTGTGTGATTCAAATGCCCTTAAGTAATACCTAAAAAAGATAACTAGCAGAATTTCAGTTATAACTATACAAGCTCAGAAGACTTTTTGTTCTATTTCTTTGCTGAGAATCTAGTTAAAGGCCATATTGAATTGTAAGTCGTCCAGAATAATTGACAGAAAAGGGCAGCTATAGAAATTACACAATTTCACAATTTGCAAATCCTCCTTCATTCATATTAGTGTATTTAATATTTGCTTAAAGCAGCCACTTTATTATATATTATTCCAACCAAATTACTGTATTACTCTAGAAAGGTTTCTACCAGTATTAACACAGTTACTATTTTTCAAGTGATTGCAATATTGAAGAAACTACTGCTCCTCTTAGTACTACTTGCCAAGCATCTAGCAACCCCCAGGACCTACAGTTATTTGAAAAAGGAAATACATTTCATGTAAATGTTTCTTTTTTAAATATGTGGACATATCAATATTTTATCTTTAAAGATATAGGTGATATAATTGAACAAAAATAAATATGAAGAATTGATAAGTATTTATTTATTTACCGTGGGAAAAGTAAGTATGCCCTTAGCTCTAATACATGGTATTGCCCCCTTTGGTGGCAGCATCCTCAAGTACACAGCTTATAACTGTCTATCCATCTCTGATATCAACTGGGAAGATCTTTTTTTCTCACTACTCCATGCTGATTTTTGTAGCTGTGCAATGTTCTTGTAACTAGCAAGAAACTGTTGATTAATTAAAAGAGGAAAATGAAGCTCTTGTTCACTGAATGACAGAGAAGAAGAATAGCGTAGATCAGTGGTTCTTAACCTGGGTGATATTGCCCCCCAGGGGGCGATTTTGTTTTTCAGGGGGGCAATGGAACGAAAAGGGGCGATGCGGGAGTGAAAGAACGAAAAAGGGGCAATATGGGGGGGATGGAGCGAGAAGTTTTGGGGACACTTTTGAGCCTTCCTCTGCGGCTCCGAGCCTCCTCCGCCATTTGCAGAGAGAGACAGAGACAGAGAGAGGCACTTATGCTTCTCTCTCTCTCTCTCTCTCTCTCTCAGATTTGCCCCCTCAAAGGACTCCTGATTGTCCCTGCGCTCAGGTGCCCCGTCCCCTGGGAGAAGCGTGGCCAGGAAGTCCCTTTCCCTGGCTGGCCCCGTCCGAGGTGCAGTGGCTGGGGAACTGCGCAGGGAAGCCCTGGGATCCCCACTGGGAGTAGCCTGCCAGAGCCTCAGCTGAGGGGGTCAGCCTTCCTGCAAGCCGTGGCCCCGAGGGAGAGCAGCCCCTGCGATCCCCAGCTGCGGGACCATTGGCCCAGCTGGCTGGGAAGGCGTGCTGGAGTCCCAGCTGCTTTGTCGGCGAATAATGTGAGGGAGCAGAAGATGGGGGGAGAAAGGGAGGGGGAGGCATTTTCCAAGCAGCAGCAGAACAGCCCCGACCAGACCCACGGGAGTGCCTCCTCCTGGGGCCTGGCACTGGCTTCCTTGCCCTCCTCCCCTTCTTCCTCCTGCTGCCCCCCAGGTGGCAGTCCCAGCTGGGCCGGTGGCCGGCGGGGGCATCACTCCCTGGGCGACGCTGGTGGGTTGCGGAGCGCCGCGCGGTGCGGAGCAGCCCCATCTCCTCCAGCACAATGGACCTACTGGAAGCAAGGGAGGCTCCAGCGTTGGTCCTGGCGGGAGGCGGATCATTGCCCCAGTTGCGACCAAGGACACCAGCGATGCGGGAGAAGGTATAGCGATGCAGCTGATGGGGGGGCATTCCACGGATGCCCCACGACTTAAGCCCGGGGACGCCGGTGGCGCGAGGGGAGGCTTGGCGATGCAGCCGACGGGCGGGGCATTCCATAGATGCCCCGTGGCCCCGACTTGAGCCCGGGGACGTCAGCGGCACGTGGGATGGCCTGCCAATGTGACCGTGAGCCAGTGTGTCCCCGCAGGCCCAGCAGGTAGTGGAGCTGGGTGCCTCCAGCGGTGACAGGGGGTCTTCTGCTGCCTCCTGCCCCCCTCCCCACCCCTTTGGCACCCTCTGCCTTTGGTTCTCTCTCTCCTCACCTGGAGAAAGAAGGGGGGAGGGAGGGAGAGGAAAGAGAGAGAGAGGGAGAGGGGAAAGAGAGAGGAAAGAGAGAGAGGAAGCGCAAGTGCCTCTCTTTCCCTCTCCCTCTCTCTCTCTCACACACACACACACAAAAATTGAGTAGGGGAAGAGGACTGGCAAACCAAGGCAGAAAGGGGAGAGAGAGAGAGAGAGAGACCCTTTTGACATCAAAAATGAAGATAACAGTGAAGATATATATATATATATATATATATATATATATATATATATATATATATATATATATATATATATATTTTTTAAAGGTAAAAAAGGATATATGCAATGTTATCTTCATTTTAGATGTCAAAAGGGTTTTGCGGCTCCCAGTGTTTTGTTTTCAGTAGAAAATGGGTCCATGTGGCTCTGAGTGTTTTGGGTTGCTTACCCCTGCTCTACCCATACAGTGGCGCACCATTGGCCAGAATGGGCAGTGATGGAGGGGGGGGGGTTCTTTCAAAACATTGCATGCTGTTTTGTATGTCTCTTTGTATTGTACATTTTTAGCGTGCACTCCAGTTCGATATTATATTTTCTTTGTGTCTTTTTAATCCTTTTTACAATGTGCATGACTATATATACTTTCCTCGAATCTTAATTTAGTTTCAGAGTTTTCGTCTTGAAATTCTTAGTTCCTGCATTGCGGTTTGTTCTTATGCCCTTTTTATATTTCTTTTTGCATCTTAAATTTCACTTGTAATTCAATCATTAAATGTTACTGTTTTTCTTTCTGGGCATGTGATTCGTTCAAAAAGGTTAAGGGGGTGATTCATTCAAAAAGGTTAAGAACCACTGGCGTAGATGATGTGGTTCACCACTGTTCAGTCACAATAATTCTAAACATAATTTTGAAGTTTTTCTGGATTATTATTACTGAGCCAGTCTACTTTCACTACTCTATCAAGTGTTTAGTGTGGGCTAAAGAATTATCTTTTTTAAAAACTGCACTATATTTTGGAAACCCATTCTGAAGGTCTGTATAATTTTATGTAAACAATAAAAATAACAGACTAAATTACAGAATTTCTCTGATGGTCTGATCCAATACATTTGAAATTAAAATAAATGCTATGCCATCTTTTCATACTAGCAGCTAAAAACAAAATGTCATTCAAATCATTTCCAAACAACAGAAAATTTATGGTAGTCATGTTTCATATGATATTTTCAGAATTATAGATTCTTGTTCCTCATCATGTAAGCATAATCATAAAGATGTCATGTGAATGCGTACATATTAAATCAATGAGGGATTCTACATAATGGATCTTAAAGAGTTTACTGTCACTTCAGTTCATTACTTTTTTTTATGAAAATTTTTAAAATTTTTACAAAAAAAAGAAAAAGAACCCTACCCGACCCACCCCAACCCTCCCACTCCCTCCCTCCACCTTCCCAGAGCTGAATATAGGCTTAATTAAAATTTCTTAAGTTTCTTAAAATCTTAAGAAGAAGAATATAAACCATAAATAAGTCTAAATACAATACTTATACAACTTATAAAATAATTAACAATAATATATATATGTAAAAAGCATAACTATTAGAGAAAAAAGAAAAAAAGAGAAAAAAAATGCTTAGAAAGAAGAAGAATAAAGGAGAAAAAAGAGGAAAAGAAATATAAAAAATAAAGTAAAAATAAAAGATATAAGAAGCAAGAAAGAAAAAAGAAAAAAAAAGAAAAAAAATACAATCTATAAAATATAAAATTTATATATAAGTTATTGAAAAACTAAATAATATTTTTTATATCCAACCTGTGTTGTACAAAATCTATCCATTTTTCCCATACCGCAAAGAAGTTCTCTTGCGATTGATCCTTTAAAAAAGCCGAAATCTTTGCCATTTCTGCCAAATAAGAAACTTTAGAAAACCACTCTTGCAAAGTAGGCAAAGATTCCTTCTTCCAGGATTGCCCTACTAACAATCTTGCGGCTGTGATTAAATTTAACATCAATATAACCTCCTTAGTGTCACAATCAGTAACAATACCTAACAGAAACAATTGTGGGGTAAATTTAACCCTCCTTCTAAAAATTCTTTGAATATTCCACCATATCTTAATCCAAAAGGCTTTTATATTTTTACACGACCACCAGATATGATAATAAGTAGCATCTAAACAACCACATCTCCAGCATTTAGGCTGTAGGTCAGGATACATACGAGACAATTTTTGTGGATCAAGGTGCCATCTATAAAACATTTTATAAAAATTCTCCCTAAAGTTCTGGGCTTGAGTAAATTCAACATTCCTCACCCAGATGGTTTCCCAGGTATCTAGTAGAACTGGTTCACCGAAATTTTGTGCCCACTTAATCATACAATCTTTAATTAATTCTGGTTCTGAATCCAATTCTACTAGCACCCCATAAATTCTCTTAATGTGAGTTCGCCTTTGATCCTTTACTTGTTTAAAAAAATTTTCATCTTCTCTAAGCAGGCCCACATTACGATCTATCTTCCATCTATCCACTATTTGTCTATACTGAAACCATGAATATATAATGTTTTCTAGTGCTAAATCTTCCAAAGATTTTAACTGCCAATTTTTACCATCCCATCTGAGTAGTTGTGCGTAGGAAACGCTATCCATCTTAACTACTCTCTTTATACCCTCTATCGCATGCCAAGGTATAGCCCATAATGGTATTTTAAAATCACTTCTATAATATTTCCTCCAAACCCAAAGTAAAGAAATCCTTATAATATGGGATTTAAAAACCCGATCAACTTTTTTATTAAAAATTACTTCAGTTCATTACTTTTATATGCTTTGTATATACCATTATGTGTAAAAAAGTATTTCATACATATGTAATAGAATAAATATTTCCAGAGCTATGTATAAATACTACATAACAATTCAAAATTCACTTAAAGGTCGCAGAGCAATTAATATATAAATCATTTCATTTTATATCCAGTTTAATATATTTTCTAGCATAAATATAAGGGCAATTCAGAAACAAACATCCGTTTGATTATCAATGACAGACACTTGCAGATACAGAACTTTTATTATACATGTTAGAAAACTACAACATTACATTACTTTTTAACATAATTGCCATTCAAATTGAGTCACTTGTCATAACATCTTACAAGGTTTGAAATTCGTTGGTAGTAGTCGCTCGGTGGCAAATCTGGGCTATGGGGGGGGGGTAATCAAAAACATTCCAACGGAACTGCTTCAAAAGTTCTTGGGTGCTTCTAGCAGTGTGCAGGAGAGCATTATCGTGAACCAACACCAAATTGGAAGTGGTGCCATAGAAAATCCCATCAAATATGAAGATGCCAAAGGAGTACTTCTAGTGAGGTTCATGGAGCGTGGTTCGACCATCAGTTCAGAAGTCTACTGTGAAATGTTACAAAAACTCAGACAAGCCATCCATAACAGGCGTCGGGGCATGCTGACTTCCGGTGTGGTGCTGGTTCACAGTAATGCTCACCCACACACTGCTAGATGCATCCAAGAACTTTTGAAGCAGTTCCATTGGAATGTTTTTGATCACCCCCCCATAACCCAGATTTGGCGCCTAGCAACTATTACTAAGGAATTTCAAATTTGTAAGACGTTATGACAAGTGCCTCAATTTGAATGGCGATTATGTCGAAAAGTAATGTAATGTTGTAGTGTATAATAAAAGCTCTGTATCTGCAAGTGTCTATCATTGATAACCAAACAGAGGTTTAGTTCCAAATTGCCCTCGTACTTCATTGCAAGAATATAAGTTGCATGACAATAAGCCCTAATTGCAAACTGCATTTTTAAATATATACAACTAAATATTGAGCTACCATCATTTCAAACTAAATATGAAAGCACCCAGTAATAGATGAAACAAGACTGGTTAAAATTAGCATCCTCATTCCCTGTGTTGAAAACGCAGCACAAAAGTATCTTGCTATGGCAGTGGAGGATGAGGAAGATGAAAACTTTCTAAAATTAAGCAGATATCTTAATATTTTCTATTATTTTTAAGCAGATATCTTTTTAATGCAAATACTTCCATTCAGGGAAGATGCTCACTGATTTCAGGGATTCCTACTGCTTCTTACATTCCTGCAGTAAGGTAGTCCTTGATTTACAACTACAATTGAGCCCCACATTTCTGTTGCTAAGTGAGACATATGTTAAGTGGATTTTGCCCTCTTTTGCGATCTTTCTTCCATAGTTGTTAAGTGAATCACTGCAGTTGTTAATTTGGTAACATGGTTGTTAAATGAACTTGGTTTCCCCGTTGACTGTACTTGTCAGAAGGTCCCAAAAGATGATCACATGATTCCGGGACACTGCAACCATCATAAATATGAGTCAGTTGCCAAGCATCTAAATTTTGATCATGTGACTATGTGAATGCCACAACGGTCGTGTGAAAAACTGTCATAAGTCACTAAATGGACTATTGTAAGTTGAGGACTACTTGTAATCTATCTTATTTAGCAGATTTTTCAGGCCCTTTCTATCAGTTTTTTATTTTTGAATTCTCTCCCCAAATAGTAATCTATTCATTCTAGGTACTTTAGGAAACTACAAATAGTCCTTGACTTACAACTATTCATTTAATGACCATTCAAAGTTAAAACAGCACTCAAAAGTTACTTATAACCAGTTTTCATACTTACAACCATTGCAGCCTTCCCATAGCCATGTGATCACAATTTGAATGGTTGGCAACTGACATGTATTGATGAGTTACACTTGTACCAGGGTCAAGTGATCACTATTTGTAACCTTCCCAGCCAACTTCCAACAAGCAAATTCAATGGGGGAAGACAGATTTGCTTAACGACTGCATAATTGACTTACCAACTGCAGTGACTCGGTTAACAACTGTGGCAAAAAAGGCCATAAAAGAATAATCAGATGAAGCACAAATCACTTAACTGCCCTGCTTAGCTATGGAAATTTGGGTCTCAGTTGTGGTCAAGGACTACTTGTAGTGTTTTCACTGTTTAATTTACAGAATATATTAACACCTTCAGCTTAGGAGATGTTTCATATTAAAATGAAAACAGAACAGTTACCTTTCTACATTAACTGGCTTGTCAAATTTAAACAAGATATAATCTCCAGCAACTGGTGTGATAGCCCAAAAAAAGTCTTCACCCATGTAGGCTTTTTCAAGAGCATGCCCTTGGTAGACCTTTAATGTTGTAGAAACCTCTGCTGGTGGATTCACATGAATTTTATGCAATAATGGTTTCAGAAAGTCTTTATCCTACAAAAGAATGACAAGATATAATGCTAAATGTGAACAACCTCAACAAAGTATAGATGTATAGGACAGTAAATATATTTCCTGTAGTTTTCAAGGTTACTACATTTCTCTTGATAAAAATCATTTGTGACAATTTTCCATGACACATTTCACTTAGATAAAATTGTAGTGAAAACTTCCCCTAAATACTACATCTGGAAATATTTTGTTCCATAATGTATAGGAAAATGTGGGGGAGGGCACGGCGAGATGACAGCACCTTCGTACAAACTCTCCTGTTTATAAATTTCCCATTTTTAAGCTTTGTTCATCTTATGTTTGCTTTTAAACTATTTTTATTTTCAATCTATGGAATATTACAGTCAGCAATAACATTCTGGATGGTTTTATTTATTGCATGAGAAACAACCTCCTATACTTGCAGGTAATCCTAGATTTACAACCATTCATTTAGGAATTCTTCATTTGAAATTCCAGTAGCACTGAAAAAAGTGATTTCAAACCAATTATTGCACTTTCAATGATCGCACCACCCTGAGAGTCACAGGATCAAAATGCAAGCGCTCGGCAACAGGGATGCATTTACAAAGGCTGCAGCGTCCCGGGTTAGGTGAGTGCCATTTGCAATCTTTCCAGCTGGCTTCCAAAAAGCAAAGTTAATAGGGGAAGCTGAATTAATTTAATGCCATTGTTCACTTAATAACTGCAGGGATTCATTAACCACCACGGCAAAAAGAATTATAAAATCAGGTGCGACTCACACAGCAACCTCATTGCTTAGGAATGGAAATTCCGGCTCCAGTTGTGGTTGTAAGTCAAGGACTGTCTGTACTATTGTGAAAACAATTTTCACCGAATGCCGTTGCTTCCCCACCAAAAGGGAGGCAAAGTGAGGCTTGACTATATTAATTTCTACCAAATTGAAAATATGCTGCACTGAGTTGGTCACTTAGGAATATTGCAACATCGACCTTGGTAAAGTTTAAACACTGTTCATTTTTGATGATAAATGTGTATTTATTTCCCTGAAAAGTTCAGGCTCAATGTAAAGAAATATGGCAATGCTTAGAAAACTACTAATTCAAGTTAATGATAACTTACCCACAAGTAGATCACAGAGTCGCCTTGAACCATAAGGTGGCCGGCATATAAATGTAATAATAATAATAATTGTAGGAGATTTTAATGCAAGATTTGGCACAATGATTAGGCCCTTTAGAGCCGTGGTGGCACAGTGGTTAGAATGCAGTTCTGCAGGCTATTTCTGCTGACTGCCGACTGCCAGTAGTTCGATCCTGATGGACTCAAAGTTGACTCAGCTTTCCATCCTTCTGAGGTCAGTAAAATGAGAACTCAAGATTATTGGGGGCAATGTGCTGACTCTGTAAACCACTTAGGGAGGGCTGTTAAGCACTATGAAGCGGTATATAAGTAAGTGCTATTGCTATTGCTATTCAAACCTCATAAATATCCTTCAGAGGTATTTTGCTTCCACTGTTGGAGAGCCACCAATCCAATGTCCAAAATCTAACTTCACAGGTTTTTGTATTGCAAAATGCTTTAACAGCCTCAGTTTACATATCCTAAATGGTGTTGCCCCTAGGGACAGACCAATCGAGCACCATAGATGATACACCTCTTGCTTCAGGACTTGTGAACTTCCTAAGAGACCATACAACAGTTAGTGCTTCTGACTTGATCATTTACCAATGACACTGTCTCTTCATTTAGATAAGAGAACTGACTGATATTCCCTGTCTATTGGATCCATTGCACGTGGTGCAATGCTCAGGATGTATAAGATGGTCAATGAGAATGAGTATGGCATTGAAAGAGCTTCTGAACTCTTCTCACCTAAAAATGGTACATCTTGAAATAATATCATCTCCCCATCATGACCCCATACCTAAGCACTATGTGTCTCTCATTCAGATTTGGCAACAGATTCTAGTTAACACCCACTCTAACAGAATTATCAATTGATCAGTATAAATTAAATCACTGGCTTGACCAGGACTTCCAGAAAGAGAAAAGAAAGGAAAGGAAAATCTTGTGGTGACTTTTAGGGATTTCTAGATGCAGTCATATGATCATGATCTGGATGCCTGGCAACCTATTAGCACTTATAGCTATGCTTCCCAACTGATTTGTAACAAACAGTTAATGGACAATGAGGAAGTAAAGTCATAGTCATTTGATGACTCACTTAACAAGAAAATTATACTCAGATTTTGTGGCAATTGTATTTAAATACAGCATATAGTTAAGAAACATATATTTAAGAAATATGTATTTCTTAATTAAGATTGATTAATAAACATGTTTCCAAAAATTGGTGTATGTATATGTTGCCTTCTATCAGTACTCACTGTGAGTTTTTGAATCTTTCCTTCTAGGGAAGAGTGTAGACCCACATGCTGAAAAAGCGAAGGCCTGAACCGTATTCTGAGATTCGATTTCTGGCGATCACAATGTTTCTTTAACAAAATGGTGGAAAATCTTATTTAGCATACGACACATCATCATCATACATGGTTTTAAAACTGGCTATCTGGACCATTTATTGCATTCTTACCTTGTTTTTATATAGCAGACATGATTTCATTCAGAATAAAATAACGTATTCCCACCACTACAAAAATTCAGTCATCGGAACTTTAGTAAGTGATTATATAGGAAGTGGTGAATAGTTTATCATTCATCTTTCACAGCTGATAGGATTTCTAAATTCTGAGAAAAATATATTTTCCAATTGCAACTTTTACTTCTGCAGTCTGCTATGTCACTCTGCTATTTGAAGTGCACTTAATTAAAATAAAAAATAAAAATGTCATGCCCAATACAGTAATATATAATATATTAGGCATCATTCTTATTATGATTTGGTCTGAAAACTAAAATTTGACAAAAATTAATATTTCTGATTTTAGTATAAACTCCTTTGCCTATTGTTGTCTTCTTTCAATAATTTTCTCATATCGATATATATACCAGTATATCTCATATTGCTATATCTCATATACATATATATCTGATATATCTGATATATATAAGGTATACAGCCAACATTTCCACACATGAACTTTGCAGCCATTCAAAAACCACTCTTGGTTTCCAAGGCCTCAAGACATTGGCTATGTTTGACAGCTGAGCATATTTATTTTGGATTAAAAAGCAACCCAAAAAAAAGAACAATGACAAATCACTTCTGTACTATGGCTAAGAAAAACTAGCATGAATTTAATGGAAGTCCCTAGCAGTTCGGTTTAATGTAAGGGAAATTTTATTCCTTATCTGTGCATGCCCCACATTGCAGAAGCAACTCTTTTGCTCTTTGCAATGGAAAAGATCTGAGGGATTTATAAGTAACCTTTTTCCCTTTGAAGGGCATTCTTGCTTTACCTCTCCCTCTAGCTTCTGAGTCTGAACGGCTCCCTGGATCATTTAAAAGGAATTATGACTTGATTTTGCAGAAATGGAATTGAGAAGACTTCTGCTCCATACCCCTTCCACCTTGCTACCGCTAACAGGACACCATTTTCCTACAAAAGTGCAGGCAAGGGAAGGAACAAGGGAAGCAGAGCATCCCCAAAGACTGGCAAAGAGAGTTAGACAGTGAAGAATTGTCTGTCCTTCCCTGCTCCTCACTTCAACAGCAGCAGCAGTAGCAGCTAACCACAGTTCCACACAAGGTCAATTTGATCTATCAGCCTTGTTAAAGATACAACAAGAGGAGCACTATAAGGAAGTGGTTTTCTCCTGTCCTTGAAAGACAGATGGAAGAAGAGTACCTTGCCTGGACTGTAGGGAAAAGTCTATACCATTTTCAAGAGAATGGTTATTATTGCAATTATGAAAATTGTGCCAGTCTCTCAACAGAGAGACCGAATAGAAATTCTTTCCTGACTAGTTTTTCTGTTACATCAGGGGTGGGGAACGATGGCCTTTTTATGGTTTGTGGAATTCTGGGAGTTGACGTTCACAAGTCATAAAAAGGCCATCATTCCCCACCAGAGTTATATAAACCTGGCCTAGGCAAAATATTATATTAATTAGGCATCCTCTACACGGTAAATACTTCAACTGTTGCAGCTTTCAATCTATAAGCCAGGAAGCATGGTGGTAGTAAGGAGTCTACATTTGGAAAAAGGGGATACTTGTACACAAATGCATGTTTATCCCTAAGTAGATTCAGGTAGATTCCCTCCCTCCCCCCCCCCCAGCCCTGTATATTCAAACTTCAGACAGGATATTCTCAGCTGACTATTTGCAGAAGGCATGCCTTCTACTGGGGCACAGCTGGAGAAGTTGAAATATTTTTAGGATATAATGCAGTCTTTATAGTACTTGGCCTCTGTAGTATGTGTATAGTAGGTCTGTGCAAAGCTTTCTAAAGGAGTGTTTTGCAAAATACAGTATGCTAGCATAAGTAAAGCATCCCTTTTTACTCTAGGTCTTCTGCAAAGTTTGGTGTGATTGCTTTAAAACAGTGGTTCTCAACCTGTGGGTCGGGACCCCATTTGGGGTCAAACGACCATTTCACGGGGGTCGCCAAACAACGCAGTCCGCCATTTTTTCCCCCTTTTCCTTAGCTGTGCTACTCCCTTTTATTCTATTGGCTTTTGAAAGCCAATAGAATAGACTCTCTTGAATAGAGTCTAATTCTATTGGCTTTCAAAAGCCAATAGGAATTGTCCAGGCTGTCTCTGCCCTGCTGAGCCCGCCAAAAGTCCCATTCTGCAAACGGTGCTGCACCAGTTGAGTAGTCCTCGACTTACAACCGGTTGAGTAGTCCTCGACTTATGACCGGTTGGAGGTCGAGGCATTAAAAAGGTTGAGAACCACTGCTTTAAAATGTTCATGGTTGTGACTACAGATGCATGCACACAGAGCTGTCTTGTTTTTCTGGCAGTCTCAGAGAATTGTTGTTTGTATATGTACATGCATGCAGCCAAAGACAGTTTTTGAAATTATCTTGCCAAACCTTCTAGAAAATGTACTTCCTTAACATTTCAAGAAAGGTACCTCAGTTATATTAATCATGCTTTTCAAAATCCCCATCCGAAAGCTTTACACAGCTTCAAATGATTTCTTTCTGGTAATGTCTGAACCATTAATCATATCTTCTTAAACATATCATACTACACTAAACGTTGTTTACCTACAAGAAACTATAATTCAAAAAAGAGCTATAAAACTATGACTAAGTTGCTTAATATATTTTCTTACAATCATGTCACATAGGTAGACTTTTCAGAAATATTAAACTCTCAAACCGACTTACTGCATCTTTCTCTGGATTGCACACTTTCACCCACAGAATGTGATCCAAAAGCCAGTCAATTGGTTTCTCTTTATAAAACATAAGTATGAACTCTACAATGAGTGTAATATCTGGAGACTGGAACATTTTACCTGTAAATAATAACATGTATCAACAATAACTGAGCACTTTGAGCTATAAATGCAATGTTTCATTAAAGAGTATGAACCCAAAACTCTGATGTTTAGAATCTGAACCAGCAAATTACTGCAAAATGTTCTTTTTATAGAAAGTAGCACTATCAGATAAACTAAATTTGCACTAAAATAATTTAGGGTAATAGGTTCATTTTGATAAAAAGATAGGCTGAAGACACAAGGGCATGGAAGTGCTGCCTAGATGAACTCACTTTCAGACATAAAATTAAAACTAATATATGTTAAGTTTTATTTCTCTGTACCTTCTCATTTATTAACAATTAATGCTGTAAACTTTCCCTTTAGAGATAAAAATTCTCAAAAGCTGGTATCCATCATCTATATTTCTTGTTTTATTCTGTACTTTTCTTGCAGAACTAAAAATTGTTATATGTCATGCCTTGCAGTCAATGTATGTGCAGGGTTTCTTGGGTGAAGATGGTCCTTCTCAATTCATAAGAACTGTTGCATTCATTTCAGCAGATGTCAAAGCATAGACACTACAGCAATCACTTTTTTTTCTCAAATGCCAAATGCAGCGTCATACCACTTTGACAAAAGTTCTGCCAACACTCATTCTGCCAACACATTGGTGCAACACTACTTTTGTCATTATTCCTTTCCCCCCCCCTCTACTGAATGGGAGATTAGGCATTTGTTTCCATTGGTCAATTTAAAAAGGGTTATAAGTTGCACATAGTATGCCAAATAATAGAAATTATAATAGTAGTGAAGAATTAGAAAAGTCATATTCTTTTTTAAAGAAACCCAGTATCTTCAAATACTTGTATCAGTTTAATATTAACATATGATGAAAGTAGAATTTCTCTTTAAATAAGATTTCAGGAGCAAATATTAAATTGCTGGCCTTGATAAAGGCAGAAATAAGACATAAAGAAAGCTTTTAAAATACTGCTTTTCATTTGTCTTAATCTATAGATGAACTTGCTTAGATGATTGAAGTCCATTTCAGTCTTATACTTCAATTTTAAACATTTTATTTAAGAACTGCAAATATAATTATAACATTATTCCATTTTCTACCACCTGGGTCTTGTTAGAAGTTATATATTACCTACACATAATCTAGTAAGGAATGATATGGGAAATTTTACAACTAATACTTTCATATTAGGAAAGTAACTTGAAAGCTGTTTTTGTGTCTGGGAGAGGGTTGTTAAACTAGTTACCCAGATTTCACAGTGCTTTTCTCTCCTTCCCCTTTTAAAAAATTATGTAAGGGCCTTTTTTTCTTACCAATGAATCCCAGCTGAGAGAATTCTAGAATCATCCAGTCTTCTGATGACAACTGAAGTGCAAAATTTTTTATTGTGCTGAAATAATTCTGCTTGACAACGATGTCATCCTCAAGCTAAGGGAGTCAAGCACAAGCAAGCAAGCAAAATAGAAGAAATGAAATGAGGAATGAAGTTGTATGGGGGTGGCACTAAACTAACCAGATTTCAGATTCAAACATAGATGTAAATCCAGCCATCATTAGGTCTTTTCCTACAGATGATTTGAAATGTCCTCTGCCCTGAATCAGCAGAAACCTATTGTGATAAGAAATTTGCTATCCCTACTGCTAATCCTTAGTCTGTGGCTTCTGCTTCAAACCAGTATAATCATCTGAATTTCTCCTAAGGAAAAAGCAGACAAGGATTGCCCTTGGAGAATATAATAATGAGGGGAAAATACTACTTTAACACTAGAACAGTTATGGCTGTCTCACTCATAGGCTGTGTGTATAATGAAGGCAATATCATGTGATCCATCAGAGGAAAGAGCATAAAGGTAGTCCTTGATTTACAACAGTTTATTTAGTGACCATTTGAAGTTATAATGCTGCTGAAAAAGGGATTTATGACTGTTTTTCATACTTACAGCATTGCATCATTCCTGTAGACATATAATTAAATTCAGATGCTTGGCAACTGGTTCATACTTATGACAATTGCAGTGTCCTGGGATCATGTGATCCCCTTTTATGACCTTCTCACCAGCAAAATTTATGGGGAAACCAGATTCACTTAACAATTGGGTTACTAAATTAACAACTGCAGTGATTCATTTAACAGTTGTGACAAGAAAAGTCGTAAAATGGAGCAAAATCCAGTTAACAAATGTTTCACTTAGCAACAGAAATTTGGGGCTCAGTTGTGGTCATAAGTCGAGGACTACCTGGATTTGTGCCAAAGTTGGGTACAAGAAAGGAGAGGCCTGTTCTTCCATATGTACTTTCTCTATTATTTATTATCTTGATTTATTGCTGGCTGTCCCAAATCCATGATTCTGGGTAGTTAACAGCATTAAAAACACCACATAACACAACAATAATACATACATAACTGGCAACTGGGGTAAACAACTAAAAGAGCCAACAAACAAATCAACGCAACCATATTGCAGGCTCTGCCACACATTTGGTTTCTCAGGCTCATTGTTACAAAAGCCTTAGCCTTACATTTAAAAAGAAGTAGTAGCCTTGATTTTTTAATTTTATTGTATTAATTTAGGCTGAAATGCTATATAGACCTCGAAAGAAGAAAATGAATTCTGCTATGTTAAATGAGACTTAATTTTAAGGAGGTACGCTTTTAATCCATGCATTAAATCAGAATGAAAAAAAGCAGGATGTGCCAAGTATCTGTCTTGGCATCTTGTCTGTAATAATACATCTGTGGTTATTACTCAGTCTTGGGTTGGCATCTTATAAGAAGGGTTGGCCTACCTCTCTCTTCATGGTAAACAAATACCTTCCTTCCTTCCCTGGTCCCATTCTGAAACATTCTCAAAATCTGTTTTACAAAGTTGGGGAATACTCTTGAGCAAAATTTGGGAAGAATGGAATGTGGGCTAGTGGAAAAAGAGAGGAGCACAAAGTGCCCTGCACGAAGAGACTTCTGGTCACACAAGACAGGATTTGTCACTGGTAGCCATTGATCAAAAAGATCATAATGTAATTTTAACTTCGAACTATTATGATATAATTACTTCAAATTAGTATACTTCCAAATTAAAGAGTGCAAGAAACCCTTGTAGATCTTTAGAGTAGGCATCTCTAGACATTTTGAAAACTTTTTATTGCTTTCACATTAAATATGCACAGAATTATGGTATAATTTATTCCCTACCCTCCCTCCCCAATTATAAAAACAAAATACAGAATAAAAAAGAAAGAATTAAAAAAATATTCTTAGTCTTTGGGAATACTGAAATTGTGAGTGTGGATATAGGTGGATGTGTGCGGGTTTAAGAGATTGTTGAGAACATAACAATTAATCATCCACGTTTAATATATTTCTTAAAAAATGACATTTATGCTGGTAGAAGTAATCTATCAAGAAAAAAGCTAATGAATATTTATCTAATAAATGATAAATTTATTTTTATTATTAAATTTAAATTTTGTTTCTGAATTATTTTTTGTGTCAATGCAGTTTCCCACACTTTAGAATCTGTTATCAGTCTAAGGATATTATGCTTTCATTTTTCAATATTTCCGAATGATCATTATTAATAACTAAAACTGATTTTTTAAAAATAGCACTTGTTAAAATATTGAAAACAGCAATACACTATGTGGTTCACTTTAAAAGATTGTTGTGATGTTTACAATTTCATCAAAAACCTTTAACCAAAAACTTTGGCTAACTGAGCATAGTAACAAAATAATAAATATATGTTTAACTCCAACACAATTCAGAAAAAATGAGGTTGATGTCATGTAATTTTAACACAGATGATGCTATTTAGGAAATTTTTTCTATACCATTGCTTGATAAGTTGATGAAATTGTTCTAAAAGAATATTGATACAGGGCATTCCACTGAGATTCATCTAATTCAATGGCCAATTATTGTTTCAACAATACAGTATTTAAGGTTTTTAAAGGAGGGTATCTCTAGCCAAAGGCTTGGGTAGACATCTGCCACAGGTTTTTAACAAGTGGAACTGCAAATTAATCAACTCCAGCCCTTATAGCAAACTTACCAAAGAAACTATGACCAAGATGGACTTCTAAGTCTTAAACCCCAAAACATCTCTTCCACACAGCAAAATATTTTCCAGTGATACTCATATAAATATATACATCAAACTCTCAGACAATTTTGATAACACAATAACATTTGTAATCTATCTCAAAAGCAAAACAAAAAATCTTGTGCATGTCATCCTCCTATTTTCTAAAAGCCAAAACAATAGGCTGCTAATGATAAAGGCAACACCCTAAATTATCCCAGGTAACAATTCTCAGTTCACAAAAGTTATATAAGTAGTGCCAAACACACACAAGCAATTCCTCTCCAAAAATGCATATATTGTTGGATGCATCATCCCAATCAACAAAACTTTCTTTCATGTTGCAGAAATAAGGGCTGGATCACTTCATACCCTACTTTCCAGCTTCACTCTGTTGTCCTTATATACATAAAAGGTTTAAAGATGGAATGACCAAAGGCCACTTCCTTTGGGACTGTCCAATGATCATTAACTACAGTGTTTCCAGTAGCTCTGGAAGGCTCGTGCCTTTTAATATTTAGGCACCTATATAGAAAATCTAAATTGTCGCCTGTCATTTGCGTTTTCCTGTCTCTCTTCTTTTGCCTATTTTTGTCCCTTTCCACCAATTAACTGCTTTTTTAAATATTTGCTGATGTTTAATAAAGGTTATTCTTGTTAGCAGAATTGAATGATATATGTTCATTTCAATAGAGAGGTTGACTGGGAATCTGATGGGTGAAAACTAAGTTGGAAATTACCCACAGACATTTCCACATACAAATGCTCAGCAACATGAACAAACTTTTCCACCCAACCATAAACATCATGTAGAATCCTATTCAGAACCCAATCATAATTTTAAGAGAAACTGAGGGAGGGAGGGAGGGAGGGAGGGAGGGAGGGAGGGAGGGAGAGAGAGACAGAGAAGCTGTGAAGATCATTAATTACTGCCATCTCATTCAGGAAAAGTTCTTGTACAGCTACTCCTGTGTCACTCTCACTCAGGTGTGGACTGATGCCACATGTACCAAATTTTGAATAAAAATGAGCACATTGGTCAGAGAATGAATATTTTATTACTGTTGTACTGGCAAATGGTTGCTAACCAAGGTAGTCACTAAACAAAGGGTGTTTACATGCCATGGCCAGCTTTACACAGTTATGCAACACTGGATTCAAAGGCAAATCAGAGCATGCAAAAAGAGATGCTCATTGCACTTTAACTAAACGAACCTGTATCTTTTTCCAGGAGAAAATTAGTTTTGCTTAATTATTAATTAATTAGTTGCTTTGAGGCTAAAAATCTAAACATGTGTAATTCTCTTTAACTATGGCCTTATTGCACACTCATGCCTGGTAGACTGAATCAAATTTACAAAATGCAATTTTGATAATAACAGATGCTAATGAAGTTAAAAATATTGCATGTGTTTAAGAATCCTACAAGCCTTTTAAAATTTCAAATAATCATGAAAATATAGTTTTAATTTTAAATTGAAATTTTAAATTCCACTGCAAAGAAAACATTTTAATCTTACACTATTTTTCATTATTTTATTGAAATATTTACTGTAATAGCTAATCCATACATTTTAAAAATATTTTGAATATTCAATTTTACATTCAGAATATAAAAACAATTTACCTGAATGTAGTATACACCCTTTTTCTGTGCGTACATCATAAGAAAACAGTAATCCAGATTTTGCTTTGTCCTCCATCTAGAATTAAATATTTAATGTTATTGATTTTGCATGCGAGCAGGCAGACAAAACATAAGCTTGAAAACTTTATGCTTGAAACATAAACATGGTTTTTAGTTATTATTTTTGTAATGAATGAACACAAGTAATCTCTCTGTCTCCCACACCTCCATTTATTCCCAAATCTCACCATCCACCACTTCACTGGAACATCTGAAGAGGTCCATTACAGGAAGTCTATCCGTGGACAAAAGCTCTTTTTGAATGTCCTTTCTTTATGCAATTTCCTACATTTGTTTGCTTGGGAAAATCTGCTCTGCTGCACTGGGGGACTTTCCACACAACTGCATCTATGAAAAGTTGTTCCCTACCCTCCTTCCTCTAGCATAGGAATCTTTGTTGGTCTTTAGTTTCCTTTGTCAGTGGAATGGCAACTTTGGATGATGCCCTTCAAAAGTTGTGCAGATCCTGTTCAAGATTTTCCTGTGTGATATATACTTTGGTTTGATATATATCTAATAGCATAAAAAAGCACTCCCATGTCCTAATTGGTAGCATCTTGGTTCTGCCCCAAGTCCTAGCAGACATTACCGAAGAAACATGTACTTCTAGTGCTAGGATTGCAGACACAATAGCCATTATAGAAGGTTTTCCTACCATTATTTAATCCAAACTATACTTCAGTTTATCTGCTTAGTCACCAAATACTACAATAGCAACTCAACAAAGTTCCAAATCCAATGATATAAACACAGTGCCAAGCTAAGCATTTGCGGATCAAAAGAAGGCCTCAACAGCAAAACTAACATTATCACGAGAAAGCTAAAAGATAAGATTTAGATTGGAAAAAACCCTTCTGAATTATTTTTGCTCAAGACTCATGTCTGAGGTCACGTTTAAAAATGAATATTCCTGAAGAATAGTGTAATAGTAAGAGTACGGTAGTAAGAATAATGTAAACTGTCTTTCCTCAACTGTTGTATATGGGCAGTTTCACATTCTATCACCAACATGGCTAATGGCCGAGGACTGTGAAAAGTATAGTTCCTCTGCATATCTAAAGGGCACCAAATTAGGAAAGACTGCTGGATACAAAACATGCAACAGAGTTTGCAGCCTGATTCTGGGCCTAGTTTATCCTGTATTCCCAAATGTAATATGTACCGTAAGTTAACAGTATCCTAGACTATCTCTGTTAAGATCTACTGTGATGACCAAAGCACTTTCTCACCTGCAAGAAAAAAAGTCCTTACCTGACTCTTTCTTTTGAATCTCCAAATGTCTCTTTTAGATTTTTCATGTCAGGATAGTAAAACGCAGGAGGAGCTATTATTTCCACTAAGCCAGAACGAATTTCTGAAGAAAACCTGGGGTCAAAAAAGTTTTGTTATTTTCTGTTCATGGAAGCTGTACTTCAGACATCTGTGATGAACACTGGACTTGGGTTCAACTTTTTATTCAGCTGTGAAACAAAATGTAGGGCACCAAGCAAGTTAATAAATTGGAGACCAACTGCTGATTTCAACTTACATATAAAACTATAGTTTTGTCACCTGGGTCCACACTAAACTGTTTTTCATGAAGAGACTTCCATGTTCACCAAGCCTTTGATAGTTTCTGAAGTTGAAAATTTTACATCTACAAAATCAGTGCAGCATATTGTCTCAAATCACTTGCAATTATCAATGGAATAGTCTATAGAGGTAAATATATATTTTACAAAACCAACCAATATTAACTTCTTAAGCACGTAGGCAGTCTTTTTTATAGTTTACCACTAATATAAAAACTTTAATGTAGGTATGCAATCTTTATTTCATGTGGATGTATCCAATTCAGGACTGCCTGGATCTTATATTGTAATATTATTTGCTGTTTTAGAAGAAAAGTTATCTCAATATTCAATATAATTATATAACTGTAATGTATATTGTGTATTGATGTAATATATTACACAAACTTATTTAGAAATGTCAGTTTTGGATTCTAAGCTGTGTACTAAAAAGTAGATAATCCAAAATACTTCAATGGTAACTTGTATAAATTAAACTTACTCTTTTTCGAGATTTGCCACAACACCATTTACATAGTCAAGTTCTGTCTAGAAAGAAAAGGAAAACAACATCTTTACATATAGTATGGATAATTGGTTTGACAATTGCATAGTTTGTATACTTATTTTTGTTCTTCAAGTAGGCTAACGTGATATTAACCACCCAAATGTATTCATTCATTAACAAATGCCATACAAAAGGATTGTTTTCTTGTCACAGATAACAGCCAGCAGAACATTCACCTCAATTCAACTTTAGCATGTTTACTTTTACCGGTACTCTCATTCGTATGTTTGATTGAGAAAAGCAGCAGTTTAAATATAGGTCCTTTATTCATAAATACACAATAGGCACATATATTTTGGGCACTGTACCTGAATCTGATCCCAGAAAAGCACTGAAAAAAAAGCAGGACCTCTCCACATGCACAATCTCTGAAGCTTCAAGTTCTGAATTGTCCTTCCCCATGATACCTGCTTACTTTCATTATGAGATGGCTTATCTCTGGCTCTGTACTAAAATTGGAGCAAACTGAAGGAGGGGAGAATGGGAATTGCAATGGTGGGGCTCATGGGTGAACTATGTTGTTTTTGCCTAATTTTGCTCCCCAATTCCTACACACAAGCAAAGCATCCATTGCATTCTAACTATGTTAAGAATCGAAGTAGTCCAATTAAAATCCTTCTAGTTAGCTTTGTAATTTCTCTGAAACAAATCAGCATAGCATGATTTCTTTGGTATACATAAGTAGCATATCATTGCTTCATCCAATCCCAGTGTCTAGGTTCAGGATAACTATTCTATCTACTCCAACTGAACTATATCTCTCCATATACAGAAAATGGCTTAATTAAAAGAGAGTTTTGGAAACCAATAATCCAATGTATTTGTTCTAAGGCACTGTTTCTCAACCTTAGTGACTTCTGAAGTCCATACTTCTTAAAGTATGAACTTCAATGCTGGGAGTTGAAGTCCATACATTTTAATGTTGCCAAGGTTGAGAAACATTGTTCTAAGGAATTCATATACAGCAAATGTTTCAGTCCACAACTCGTTTGATATAAATTTGGTTTCTTGGACCAGCCAGGAAAGTTTGAACCCTCTAGCATCAATTCTATAAGCTTCCATAAAACACATGAGTTGATCCAGAAAGAAGCAGACAAAAATGAATTTTCCTACCCCTTCTCTCCCAGCCAAAACCCAAAGCTCATCAAAATGTTGTTTCAGAAACATAAAGGACAAAAGGAATTGCTGGTCTCTTAATCTTACATATGTAGGACTCTAACCTTTTTTATACATAGTTCAGCAGCTGACTGCACAAGCTACATAACTCCTGAATTAAGTTCAATGCTGCTTCAGGCTCAATGCCATTAATACCTTCCAATATTAAACAAACAGAAATTATTATAAGAGCCCAGCCTTGTTTCTCCTGAAATGACTGCCTTTAGAAAACAGAATATATTTTCCCTTAACAGTAAAACACTCAACAGTACTCCTTTGGTGCAATTCAAGTCCTTTCACAAAGAAACACGTGTATATTTTTTAATGAAATTTGCTTAAGCAATTTCCCTTATGACAGTTATGATTCCTTGCCAATTCATTCCATACCAAAAAGCATTAAATTTGTGCAGTTTGTCTAGAATTCATCTGGCCACCATTAAAAGCCTTACTGTATACTTCAACAACAGAACCAGATCTGAGGTTGTTTTCATTTTTTTAATGAACTCCCACAAATCTTATGCCTCAAAGAACTGTACATAATGAAGTTTTGATACTAATGGCCCATTATCTCAATTCTTTCAACCACATCTCCTCTGCAATATATAGCTGCAAAGAAAAACATTGATTTTATTTGGACACCATGCAAAAGAGACAGTTCTTAGGATATGATCTGAGCACTTTTATCTGTGAAACAAGGCCTTTTGAACTAACTGGATTACTTTACTTTCTCTAGTCTAAACTGATGAGCGTTTAGTATCATGCTACTGATGATTACCGTAAATGCTGGCGTACAAGGCGACCCGGAGTATAAGACGACCCCCGTCTTTATAGCCAGGCCGCATTCGTAGAACGTCGTCTTATACGCCAGAAACTATCAGTATTTCCGGCGTATAAGACGACTCGGCGTATAAGACGACCCCCGTTTTTGGCGCCAATTTCAGCGCTCGCGGAAGTTGCCTTATACGCCGGCATTTACGGTATGTTATATCCATTGTATATAAAATGGAAACAAGAGGTTTTTCTATCTGGTTCAGATAGTCTAAGATCTATAGGTAAAATCTTAATCTGCCTTCTATCCTCCCCCCCTTCAACCCCATGTTCCATCTAAAGCAGTGGTTCTCAACTTTCCTAATGCCACGACCCTTTAATACAGTTCCTCATGTTGTGGTGACTCTCAACCCCTCATCCAGCTGGCCAGGGAGGGGGGGCAGGAAGGCCGCTCCCCCGGCTCCGCCCAGCCTGGTTGGAGAAGCGCCGTTCCTCTCTTTCTCTTTCTTTCCTCTCTTTCTCTTTCTCTTTCCTCTCTCTCTCTTTCTCTCTCTTTCTCTTTCCTCCCACTTTCTCTGTCTCTTTCCTCTCTCTTTTCCTGTTTCTCTCTCTTTCCTCTTTCCTCTCTCTTTCTTTTTCTTTCCTCTCTCTCTTCTCTTTCTCTCTTTCCTCTCTCTTTCTTCTCTTTCCCTCTTTCCTCTTTTTCTCTTTCTTCTTCCCATTTCTCTCTCTTTCTTCTCTTTCCTCTTTCTCTTTCTCTTTCCTCTTTCTCTCTTTCCTCCCTCTTTCTCTTTCTCTCTCTTTCCTCTCTTTCTCTTTCCTCTCTCTTTTTGTTTCTCTTTCCTCTCTCTCTTTCCTCTTTCTCTTTCCTCTCTTTCCTACCTTTCTCTCTCTTTCCTCTCTTTCCTCTCTCTTTCCTTTCTCTTTCTTTCCTCTCTTCTTTCTCTTTCCTCTCTCTCTCTCTCTCTCTCAATCTTTCCTCTCTTTTCCTCTTTCCTCTCCCCCTTTCTCTCTTTCCCCTCTTTCTTTCTCTTTTTCTTTCCTCTTTCTCTCTTTCCTCTCTTTCTCTTTCTCTCTCTCTTTCTCTGTTTCCTCCCTCTCTTTCCTCTCTCTTTCTCTTTCTCTCTCGCTTTCCTCTCTCTTTTCCTGTTTCTCTCTCTTTCCTCTCTCTCTTTCTCTCTCTCTCTTATGGCAGCATCATTGGGGGTCCTCGCTGCCCCCAGCCCGGCCTCCGCCACGTACTAGCCAAATGGGCAGGGAGGGGGAGGATGGGAGGCAGCGGCTCCGGCAGCAGCAGCACGGCTGCATCGTTGGGGGTCTCCGCCGCCCCCGGCCCGGCCGCCACCCCCACTGGGACTCCACGCTGCCCGGCCTCGCCCTCCACCCATCGATGGAGCCGTGGTGGGGACAGCGCCCACTTGAGCCGCCTGGGGGTCAGCAGGAGGAAGAAGGAGAGGAGGAGAGCGAGGAAGCAGCTGTCCCAGCCAGGACTCCGCGCTGCCTGGCCTTGCCCTCCGCCCATCGATGGAGCCATGGTGGGGGCTGGTGCCACGCAACCCCTGCCAGCCTCTCCGCTAGCCCGGCTACTCCCCCCAGGCATCCCTCTTGTCCCGACGCCCACCTGAGCTGCCTGGGGGGCAGCAGGAGGAAGAAGGGGAGGAGGAAGAGAAGGGCAAGGAAGCCACCACCAGCACCAGGCCCCAGGAGGAGGCCCTCCTCTCCTACCATTGCTGCATCTCCTTCTTCCTTCCCGGCAGCCTGGACTCCAGCACGCCTTCCCAGCCAGCGGGGCCAATGGTCCGGCTGGCTAGGGATCGCAGGGGCTGGTTTCCCTTGGGCCGCAGCTTGCGGGTGGGCTGGCCCGCTCAGCAGAGCCTCCAGCGGGCCGCTCCGAGCAGAGATCCCGGGGCTTCCCCGGGCGGCTTCAAGGCCACGAGGCCCTGGCCCCACTTCTCCCAGGGGGTGGGACACCCAGGTGCAGGGCCAATCAGGAGCCCTGCAGGAGGTAAGTCCGCCTGAGAGAGAGAGAGAGAGAGAGAAAGAGAAGGGAAGTGAAAGTGCCTCTCTGTCTCTCTCTCTGCAAATGGCGGAGGAGGCCATGCGGAGATGGATGCAGAGCAGTGTCTCAGTTCCTAAGACCATCGGAAATATGTGTTTTCTGATGGTCTTAGGCAACCCCTGTGAAAGGGTCATTCGACCCCCAAAGGGGTCGCGATCCACAGGTTGAGAACCGCTGATGTAAGAGATAAACCTTAGAACAAACTGAAATTTTTTTTTTTTAATTTTTAATTTAAAAAAATGTTTAAGATTTACAGGAAGCTTTACATGTGAAGCTTCAAGATGAGGGTATCACCAGTATGCTGATGATATTCAGCTTTACATCTCCACTTGGTGCTATGATGCTATGGAGGTTCTCTCTTGGTGCCTGGAAGTTATGGGAATCATAATCATAATCACTTGAGATAAACAGGCAAGGCCAAGTGGCTTTGTGTTTTTGGACTTCTGTTTTGGGGGACCTTCTATCTTTGGTTCTGGGTGGGGTGACACAGTGCAGACAGACCTGGTACACAATCTGGAGGTCCTCCTGGATTCACAGTTTCTGCTCAAAGAAGTAGAAGTAGACATAGACCTTTAAAGACTTTCATGGGCTACCTATGGGCCATCCCTCACCAACTGTTTCTACCCATCCCTCCAAGTCTGGCAGGAGGGGCCTGCTAAGGAGTGTCAACTTACTAAAGCCCAGGAAGAGGTTCTTTTATGCTGTGGCAATCATCCTGTGGATGTCATTCCCCCTGAGATTAAGTTAGGCTGGCCTTTAATAAGGCCCTAAAAACCTGGTCTTGTGCTTGGACGTGGGACCTCCAAAGTGTGATTGGTTTTGTTGACAGTTATTTTATGATGCCCAGCTGCTACACTATGCGTTTTATTTTAATTATGTGTTTTATTTGCTTTTTTAAAATCTATTTTATTGTAAGCCTCCCAGAGTAATATATGTGAAATGGACAGCTATATAAATCAAATAAACAATATTTGAATTACCTCTCCTATGAATACAATCATAACACAATCCAATTTCTCCTCGGGTGACAGCTTATCAATCAGCGAGTGAAGAGTTTCAGTAAGGTAAGATTTTACTTTTCTCTTGACAGTTGGAATCCCCATTACTATAGAAACTAAAAACAAACAGACAAATCAGTTTCCTTGAACACAAGAGAAATGGCTTATTGTGCAGTTTTTAAATATACTCATAAAAAGTTATTGATTGCCTTTTGAGTTATTTTGCTTTGTTTTCTGTTCTCTTAATGTATAGTCCCAAGTATTTCCAGCAGGTATTCTGAAAACAGGATGCATAAAAAAGCATTTAAAAATAATACTTTCAAGAAAGCAGTTAACACCTCAATGATTTAGTCTCTCCTTGGCCAGAGAAAATAATATTCTTCACAAGCTTGAAGCTGGAATTTTACTGCTAGGTCCTCAAATTTTAAACTAAAAAAAAAAGCATTTATGAGAACTACAGTCTCTGCAGACATCTCCTTTGCTACTGCTACCATGCCCCATCTGACTTCTTCAGAAATCTTAGGTTTAAATTAGAAAAAAAATTAAAACAGTTGGTCTGACAAAAAAATATATAGTCAGAAGAACATGAGGTAATAGTGGGGAGCATCATTGGTGTTTATGTGACAGCATGAAATATCCTCATAAATTTATAGCTTTTTTGCAACTAGCCTTACCCTCCATGTCCATGAAAACCATTTTGTAAGAGTACTTAATGTTCTCATAATTTTCCAAAAATGTGCAATGGCCCACAAAGGTAGGGACAGAGGTGGAGATGCATGTTTTGAGTTGTAAACCTTTAGCTAAATGTGACCCTGGAACTCCACCAAAAATTCTCACTTTTTTACCAATTTTAATATGTTAAAAGGAGGGGAAAATTAAATTAAACCAAGATTATTTTGTCCCAATGTCCATTTTCTATATGTCCTTCAAGACCAAGTGCAATTCTCACACTAGAAAATGTTGGTCACTTCTGTTTTAAAAATCCATTGTCAGTTACTCAATTAAAAATCATTAGTATCACAATCCCATTCACTCCTCATATCATCTAATTAAAAGTTATCTTTCCTCCCACATTTCATAATTGAAGGAGAGCAGCATGCTTTGAAACAACAATTAGATTTTCTTCCTGACAGTATCTATGTGGTCACTAGCAGTCAATAATGATTTGATGGCACATATCAATCAAGCTTTCACACTTATCAGAGCATGCTGAAATTTTCAATGAGTGGCCTGCTTAGTACCACACTCCATGTGAAATTGTCTGCATGGCAAATGTAGACTATTATACAGAATGTACAAGAGATTGGCCTGAAAGTACTCAGGATTTGTTGATTTTTCTTTCTAAGCTTTTCTTCCTAGAAAGTGCATTTAATGTTTAAATGCAAGCCTAAATCTAAAAATCTATAAGATTCCATAAAATAAAATCATATTGTAAGGACCCACTTCAATCCCACATATTAAGAAATCAGAACTCTTGGAGACGGTTTCTTCCAACAGAAACTTTTATTAAGAGTAGTTGATAGCAGGCATAATAGACAGGATCTGAGATTTCCTGGACTGAGTGATAGATTAAGATATCCCCAATTTAGACCCCACCCCATAGTCTGCCCGTCCGGTATAGGACGGCCAATCCCCAGGTGTTAAGTCCATCGTGGGAAAGGGGAGATAACATCAGCCCATCTCCAGTTCATGCAGCGATGGTCAGCAGCTTCTTCACACCTTCCTGAGACCATTGAAATAAACCAGGCACTGGGTTACATTCCTTATTTCCTCCCTTGTTCTGACAGTTTAGGAAGATAAAGTTCAGAGAAAGACATAGCGCAGGAAGCAATATGTTACATTGTAACGGGCAACAGACACAGCAGCAATAAACAAAGCAAAAGGTTACATTGTAGCAAATAGAGGAAGCAAAAGCAATAACTCTGCAGGCACATCCCCCCTCCCCTTTGGGAGTATGGCAGAACCCAAGGAAAGGGTTCTGACATCCTGCCCCCCTTAAAAATAGGAGAAATCCACCTGTAGAGAAAACAAAACAGAGGTTACTCTGGTTTGTTGGGATATTCTGTATGAAACTTCTTTAGTAGTTTAGGTGCTCTGACATGACGTTTATGGACCCACTCGTTTTGTGAGGAGGGAAGGTGTTTCCATGCTACTAGGTATTGAGTTGCCCATTGATACTTCCTAGAATCTAGGATTTCTTTTATCTTGAAGTGTTGTTCTCCTTCAACCATGATTGGAGGTGGTGGTGGTGGGAGATTTTTGACCATAAGGGCTACTGTTGTTCTCGTTTCAGCAAGCTGCAGTGAAAAATTGGGTGTATTTGCCTAAGGTTTTTGAGTAGTTCTAATTTTACTGTTACTGTTACTGGGCTTATGATTTTCTTAATTGGAAAAAGTCCTATATATTTTAGACCAAGTTTTTTACAGGGCTGTAGGGATTTTAAGTATTTTGTAGACAAATATACCATTTCTCCTACAGTGAGTGGTATAGGTTCAACTCTTTTTTTATCCCCTTGTGCTTTGTATGCTTCCCAAGCTTCGTCTAAGGCTTTCCTAACCAAGCTTCATCTAAGGCTTTCCTAACCACTGGCCAGGTGTTTTGTAATTGTGATATCCATTCTTTCAGCGATGGGATTGCCGGTTCATTTGGGGTTAGTTCTTTTGGCAAGGGATAAAATGTATTTGTTTGGAAAACAGGTCTGTAACCACCCAGATGACAGTATTTCCATTGCTTTCTGGTAGTTCCACTATAAAATCCATGGATATTTCTTTCCAGAGGGCTGAGGGATTCACCACTGGTTGTAACAGTCTGGATGATTTCCCTTGCAACCTCATAGCAGCTGTGCAAGTTGGGCAGCTGGCCATGTAACTTTCTATGTCCTTTTTCCTGGATGGCTACCAAAATTGCCTTTTAATCAGATGTAGCGTTTTTACAAATCCAAAAGGCTTTGCTGATTTGGTATCATGGCATAGATGCATGGAAGTGACCCTCAGGGTGGCTGGTATATATAACTTCACTCCCACCCATGGCAGTCTATCCTTGATCATGCACATGTGTCTATTTTCCAGGAACCATTCGTCTGTTTCTAAAGTTTTCTGGAATTTGATTCCGGTTTGGCTACTTAGCTGTGGCTTTATTTTAGCTTGGGCTCTGGTGGTTACTGGCGCTGCGTGTTGTAGTTCGGGCATCAGTGGTTTAGAACCGGTGGCTTGTGTGTTGTTATATTGGGGCATGCAAGACAGTGCATTTGCCAGGAAGTTCTTTCCCCCCAGCAAGTGTTTTGAGCGTAAAACGGAATTGATGAAAATGCTGGGACCAGCGGGCTTGCTTTGGACTGAGCTTCCTGGGTGTTTTTAAGACTTCCAAGTTTTTGTGGCCTGTCCAGACCTGAGAAGGGATTTTATTCCCTTCAAGGAAATGGTGCCACATAAGTAACGACCATCTTACAGCATATACTTCCTTTTCTCACACAGCCCAGCGTTTCAGTGAGTTTCCTGGACGTGTATGCACATGGTTGCAATACCCCTTTGTCTTTTCTTGTAATAGTACAGACCCCACTGCCACATTGCTTGTGTCCGCCTGTATTATGAAGGGTTTATCTGTGTCCAGGTACCTCAATACGGGTTCAGCGGAAAAGAGTTCTTTAATCTCTCAAATGCTGCTTGGCATTCCATTGTCCATTTCAGTGGCTGGCTGGGTTTCACTGAGGATTCTCCCTTCATTTTTAGTAAGTTCGTGAGGGGCAGGGTTATTTGGGCAAATGAAGGGGTGAACTGGCGGTAAAAGTTTTCAAAACCCAGAAAACTTTGCAACTGCTTCCTTGTGCAAGGTGATGCCCATTTTAGTACTGCCCTGACCTTCTCAGGGTCCATTTCGATGCCCTGTGGGGATATGCGATAACCCAGGTATTCTATTCTTTCCTGGTGGAATTTGCATTTTGATAGTTTGGCATATAAGTGGGCAACTAGCAGTTTCTTTAAAACCGCTCTGACTAGGTTGACATGCTCCTCTTTGGATTCGGGGAAGATAAGGATGTCCTCTAGATAAACCAGGACTCCCTTAAATAGGTGCTCTCTTAGTACCTCGTTGATTAATTGCATAAATATTGCAGGGTCCCCTTGTAGTCCAGACGGCAAAACTTTGAATTGGTAGCATCCCATTGGACAATTAAATGCGGTTTTCCATTCAGCCCCTTCTAATGCGGTAATGCGCTTCCCTTAGGTCTAGTTTATGAAAATTCTTTCTTTCGATAGGTTACTTTCACTGATTGCATTCAGGGTGCGGTAATCCATGCACAAGCGCAAAGTGCTGTCCTTCTCTGTAAAGAGGACCGGGGCAGCTAGTTAGGCTTGGCAAGTTCGATAAATTCCCTTTCTAGGTTTTTATTTATGAATCTTTCCATTTTCTCCTTCTCTTTAGGACTCATAGAATATAGTCTGGGCTTCGGGAGTTTTGCCCTGGGTTTGAATTCTATGGCACAATCCGTGGGTCAGTGAGGGGGGAGCTCATCTGCCTGTTCCTCACTGAAAACTTCAGCAAGGTCTTGGTATTCCTCTCCCAGCGATGCTTTCTCCGCTTGTGGGTTTGATAGGGCTCCTTGGGGTGTTAGGTTCGCACAATCCCCCTTCAATAAACTGAATTCTGCCATCCTCCAATTTACCCAGGGTTTCAATTTCTTTAGCCACTCCAGCCCTAGGGTCACTGGGCATTCCATGCCTGGGGTCACTACAAACATTATGTCTTCCTCGTGGTTCCCAGGGATAGGTGGATTGGTAAAGTGGCTAGGGTAGATGGCACCCCTCCTGCTATGGACCCATCTAACTGGCCAAACGAGATTGGTTGTCTCAGCCTCCTCACTGGGTTGCCCAGGTTTCCCACTAGTGTTGGGCTAATGAGGCAGCGGGTGCAGCCAGAGTCTATTAAGGCTTTCACTTTGACAGCTTTGGGCATGGAGGGGGCTAATATAGTCACTGTCTTGAGGATGGGTGCGATGGGTCCACTTACCAGGGGTTCGCCCTCCAAGCTGTCATCTGAGGGATTCACCGGCCCTGCGGTGTACACCGGAGTTCCCTTCCCATGCTTGGCAGAGGGTGGGGACTCCACAGCCTCTGTTGCC